GCTTCCCAGTCTTGCTGTCGCAATTCGACCTCCTGAGAACTGTCCCGCCGAGGACCCACGACGGTCCACTCCGACTCCTCACTGGTCGGCTTCTTGGGTCCCTTTCCTTTGCCCTTGGGGCCATCCTGTCCTTTGCGCTTGCCCCTGCTTTTGCCTTTGCCTGCAACAGGAGCAGTGGCAGGAGCTGGGCTGGGTGTAGGCGTTTGAAGCCTGCCCGTGCCCCCAGCTCGGGCTTTACGCAGAGCAGCCTTCTTAAGCTTGGCCTTCCTCTTGCGGAGGTTTCGCGGTGATTGGGCGCTGCTCGGCAGGCCGGCTTGTGCAAGAGACTGCTGCATGGCTTGCTGCACTGGCTGCACTATCATACCCTTTAGGGAGTCGATTAACCCAGGGCCTAAACCACCTAAAACCTCTAGTCCGGGGTGGCGGCAGGTCCTGGGTGACTGGCTTCTCCGAAACGAACGCCGGCCGTGCATCGGCGCCTGCAGCAAACCAGTTGGCCAGAACACGTTGTGTCCCGGCGGCGCAAGGAAAGCAAAAGCCTTCCAGGCCCTGGCCCTCAGCTTCGCTCGTTCTTCGGCCACCTTGGTGGGCAGCCAGGTGGTCAGCATCGGTGGCTATCTGCTGGTCGACCGGCTCGTCGTCTGCGTCGCGACCGCCACCTTGCAGGGCGGGTGGCCCAACTCCATCTTCTTCCTCCAGCCCATTTGGCTTTGTGGGCCCGTCTGGTTGGCCCACGGTGGGGCGTTCTCGGGGCTGACACACAAGGCCTCGGTATGTCCATGGTCCACGTCGCCCGGTTCAGCTGCAGAAACAGTCGTAAAGAGATCCGTCCGTGGCTCATCGCTTTGGTCATCTTGTTGTGACACTTCGGCCATGGCCGAGTCACTGCATCCTTCCGCACTGCGGATTGGAGGGTTCACAATTGGTGTTTCCTTGTGTGGCAGGTGGCGCTTGTGCTTGAACACAAGTAACAGGCGCAGTAGCGGGCCTTGCACAACCCATGCACTGCCAGGATTCACAATTCTCACATCTGTCCTCCATCCCAGCCACAAGCTGGGCTCCCAATGTCCATTCCAGAGAGTGCATCATCCCGCACGCACTTTCCGGGACATAGTCGATAGCTCGCAGAGGTACCGGCCACCGATCCGCATATGTGAAAAAGTCCGCTCTCTGTGTCCCCGGTGACGGCGACATGGCTCGATTATCTAAATCGAGATTTTGTACCAGACTACCCCAGTCTGGTCCAGCTGGCGCCCCGTGGAGGCACTCGATTTGAGCCCGAGCTGCAACCCGTGCTCGAACATCGCATTTGCGTGCGGCCATCCAAAACGGTCAGCGGATCAGACGTCTGGCTGCATGACGTGGCACGAGCATCTGTGATTCTGCTGCTCATCCACCCACACCCACATGCTGCCCACATGTCATGGACCATCAAATCTGCATCCACATTATAGAAGAGCTCGTGCGACTGCAACCTACATGCCCAACATAGCAGTGGTGGTACATGGCGGTGCCGTCAGGCACGCGCAGGTGGTAACCCCATCGAATCTCGGTCCCCGATATAACTCGAATGGTTATTGAAACCTCCCCGCCCCTCACAGTGGACTCTGGAACTCGAACTGACTGAAACTGAATTCCGCCACTCCACGCTGCCGGATTCCATCCTTGAACCACCAAAAAAACGACCGACCCTACAATCCAAGCACGGATTGCGCGCACTCCCTGCACGAACCTGCAACCACGGCGCCCCCCAACGCACCATGTTTACCTTTCATGCCATCTCGAAACACCCACAGGTCCAGGTCCTTTGTGCGGAAGAATTCAACAAAGGAGAGGGCGAAAGCAGCTACATCAACAAACAGCAAAGCCCATGAAGGCCTGTGCTTCTTCTTTCGACGCTTTGCCTGTCAGGGCTGTGGAGTGGGCAGCGCAGAAGGAAGTGCAGTGCACACCCGCACACCCTGCGTCAAAGCAGCCGCCTTGGTTTTGTCACGATCTCGGGACCTGGCAAAGCTGCAGTCAGGCATCCTGAAGCTTGGCGGCCATGTGGGCCCTCCTCTCAGAAGAGAAAGGGACAAGCCTTGCAGCATTTGTGGCCTGAATCGTTTAGATGGAGATGTTGGCGAATTGAAGCGCACGTTGTGCTCGAGCACACCAAAGTAATGATTCCAGCCCCCGCCCAACACAGAATGCGAGGAGGCCTCGACTTTCGCTTCCTGGGAGATGACGACGACCTGCGACTGCGAGTGCGACCATTCTGACACCGTGCTGCGAGCGCCATTTCACTCCCCAATCCACGCGTCGAATGCTAGAAGCATAATGTTGCGGCATTGCCTCTAAATCTGAATCCGTTGTGCCTCGACCGGACCTTCACAGCTTTCCGGGCCATCTGCCCCACGGCCTGCAATTGCCGAGCTGGGAGGGCTCATGTGGCGTGTGCCCAGCCCAGTGGGATCTCTGCAAAGTGCCTAAATCGCAGACATAGCAAGTGGGAGAGGGAAGCCATCCAGCGGATCAGGACCCCGACAACAGGCGGTCAGAATCATACAAAACAACCGCCAACACACATTGCCGATTCGGTCGACTGCCGACTCCACTGCACCTAGCAAAGAAAGTCTTCCACTGGCGGCACTTCCACAGAGTGGCGCAGAGATCGGCAGAGTCGAAAAGGACCACTTCAAAGACTTTACAAAGAAGGTGTCTCCCAGCTGCTCGGACCAGAGGCTTCAGCGCACAGAAAGCAACAGGCATCAAAAACGAAGCCTCCGAATCACAGAATAAGGCACAGTTCATGGCCACTTTGAAGAACACCCGTCCCCCGAAGAGTTAAAGTCCGTTAGAGTCGAGGGGTCTGTCGGGCCCGCCAGGCGCCAGACGCACAGCTGTACCCTTACATCGATGGCCCTGGCCACATCCTTAAAGAACATCGGGAACCTGCCACCCTACTACTACGACATGTCGTACGGAGCCCTGCGTCCGTCCGAATTTACTGTAGCTTTATATGCGACAGCAGTGCGAAAAGATCCTTCCTGTTTAAGGGTCTACGAAGGCGCATTGTGCTTCTTGAGCGGGGCTGGGCCGTGGAGCGTGGGAAGACTCACTTGAGGCTGGAGCGGCTCTTGGCCTTGCAGACCATCTGTCTGAACTTCAGCTGAAGTCAAACACATTGCTCCTTTCCCTCGCTCTCTCCCCTCGCCCGCTGTGGTCTCTCGCTCTCCGCACCGGCCTGGCCTAGAGATGTTCGTCACAGCTCCCATGGCACCGGAAGCACATCAGAGTTCTCGCAGTCGAGGGACAAGGCTCAGTAAGCTGTCTCTTTGCGATCTTCTTCAGTCCCTTGTCAGGCGCTTGTGCTAGGAAAAGGCCTTCTAGTGACCCGTGGTGACTCGAGCTCAGCTTGGGCTGCTGAGCTCTCAGCTAGAAAACAGGAGCGACATGCGGCTCTAGCATGAGCTGCTTGAATGGACCGATCATGTTGCAAATCGTTGACTTTAGCGAGAGCGTTGACTTGAGGAGCTTTCCAGGTAGGTCTGAGCACCATGCGCACAGCCCGTGCACCAACACACCTGCACAAAGAAATGCTTCAGATCAAAAACACTTTGACAACCTGTTGAAACATCCCTGCTCGTACTTCAATGTACTTCATACTACTTCTCTCCATCGAAGGAGTGTAGAGTCAGTGCAGAGCCTGAATATGCTGCGAGTCGCAACCATGCGACAACAACTTTAATCTGTGCCTACCGCACTGTGGCCCAGGTAAGACATGTCCTGCCTGTTCCAGCTGGAACTGGAAGCCATAAAGCCCCGGCCGCACAGATTCACAACTTGAAGAACGCCGACTGCCGACTCTGACTGTCATTTCTGCAGGGCAACTCGCTGGATGCTTTGGCCTGACTAGACATGTAGTTTTGACACTGTCTCACATTTGATACACATCGATTGGCGAAGAAATCTCATCAGCTCTCAAACTTGAGCACGGATCTGCGAGCGTCGTTATGATGCTTGAAGACTTGCTGCCGCTGGCATGTTTCACTGGTAATAGCAGAAGACAAGTGCTGGTAGGACTTGAGCTACAGCCATGCCGTGCAAACACGAAGCGCAAGAGGAGGGATCCGCACCTTCAGAACCTGGACAGCAAGTCAAGACAGTCTTGACACCGTACATTGAACATCTGTTGAGCGATTTGACTGAGGCACAGAAGAATCGATTGCACCACTTCCAGCATAAGGAGACGACAGGCTGGAAACAGGAGCTGCTTAAGCTCTCAATGAGGCCGACGCTTCTGAATAAAGCTCCTTGGCCTGTTGGTGCTCGCCTCTCCAAGCTGAAAGGTTTCGGGGCTGTCTGTGCAGACTGCAGAGACGGCAACGCTATGTATGATTCTAGGATAGCCTGTACAGAGTACGCCGTTTGCTGCCGACTTGACAACACAGGCGCAAAGACAGCCGTGCCTTGCGCATCTGCTCTTCTAGCACCCTGCAAGAGGGTCGTCACCTGGCTCCGAAGAAGTATCGGCACATGCAACGAAATTTCAAGTTTACGAGAACTGAAATTCGAGCCGGCAAGTCGGGCGGCAGCAGGCGGCAACATCTCTTGAGAAAGCTGAAACCGAAGATATGTGTACAAGCATCCTCTAGATTCTGACGGTGTTGCCCTTGAACCCATCACTATGCGCCCCGATGGGCAGACATCGGAACCAGCTGCCAAGAATCCGCCAGCTACCTGGTTCGGCTTCACCTGTATGCCCGCAAATGACGCCGGAACCACTCGACGAAGAGCGAGGGCGCCGGAACATGGCCCAGAACATGCTGTCAGCTCCTGCTACACAGAATCTTGCTTTGCATGGACCTGCGACAGCATTAGAATTAGGAGGTTCTGGCATGATGATTCGGCCGGCGACCACTGGACAACATGCATGCACACCGAATGTGGATCTCGTGGCTGCATGGGAAACCCACTTGCACCAAGGAATATGGAAATCCTGCAAGATCGGCGTCATTCTAAATCCTAAAGGCCTCCCGCTCCTGGCGGGACAGCGTCAAGCCAGGACCTCCGCCTGGACACGAAAAGACAAATCTGGAGCCCTGGAGCGATTCAGCGCAGATCGAGAAAAGAACCCGAAAACTTCCCCAGCGTGCCGAAATCGAAATTGAGCACACTGCTGCATGGTTGCCCTGGCCTATGGCTGTCGCGTCGATGCCACTGGTCACACCCACAAGGGGTAGGGACTGGCAGCCAGTCACAAGCTTACAAGCACATTTTAAAACGTGATGGCATCAATTTTAGACACCTGCTTCCGGGTTACAACGCTACTGCAAACGCAAGTCTCAATGGAGAAATACCGTGCAGCCTTGGGAACATTGTTGCAAATTTCCCACCCCATCCCTCGCACCATGCCGTTGTGAAACAGCCGTGGTAGAAAATGCGGAAGGCCACTGGCCTGAGCTGAGTTTGGGAAAGTGAGACTACACTTAAGAGTTGAATGCTGGAAACAGCCTTCCACCGATTCTACAGTCTGACAGGAATTCCGCACAGCCGTGCTCTGAATGGCCTAAAGCAGTCACTCATTTCGCTTAAAGCGCCAGGGCCAAGTTGGCTATCGCGGGTACATCTCTAGCTCGGGCTCGCGCGGATGTCAGCGGCCCAACAAGATGCTTCAAACAGTCCGGATCGTAGATTACAGACTGCCACTGCCTCAACACGCCGCCGAAGGGGATAAGAAGGTCCCGAAGTCTGTCATTTCCTGACTAGCAGAGCCTTGCTGGGGAAGACCCTCCCTTGCCCAGACGCTCAAAGCTGTCGCAACCCCGAAGTAGATTTCAGGCCCAACCAATGTATAAGGACAAGTGACAACTCTCTTCCCAGAACAATCATTCATAAGGTGATACACACTCTCATGCAATTCATGGAACGCCTTTGCGCAGCGCAGCCAAAGGGAGGACGTGAGTGAGTCTTGGCGCTTTCTGTTTCTGGCAGGTCCTTGTGTGCTGTTGCCTGCGGAAGCCAAAAGCGCTTATGTAAGTGGACCTGGCGTGTTGGGGGTGTGCTCTGGGTCTTCCCTGGGCTGATACTCTGGGCTGACCGGTTCAGGGAATGTCTCAGGAAGGGTCCAGCTCTTGGGCTGCCTCGCATTGCAATGGAATCTGGCTCTGCGAAATCTGACTGAGTCCAAAGTGTGTCAAAGGTGCAGATGTCTGCCTGCCTACGTCCGCTCACCCAGTTTTGGGGAGATGCTCCACCTATCTGTACAGGTATCGGTCTCCCAGGAGTTAGGGAGACCACGGCTACTGGAGCCTAAGCAGAGCGGCAGAGAGCGATCTCACAATCGGTCATCTTCTTCTCTCACCGAACTTATCTTGGGACACATTGACCTTTGCTCTAGCTGGGATAGCCTTCGTCGAGATTTGCCCATGTGTGCACACATGAAGCCCAACATGCACATTCCATGACCATGACAGCCGCAATCAATCGTGTCTTGCTCGTACCTTTTCAAGATGTGTCTCAGCCGGCTACAGCACATGCACGGAGGTAGACTCTGCAGGCAACTTTGTGCAGATTGCGATAAAGTGTTGCATCGCGAGGAAGTTTCGCTGTCAGGTTTGTCTGCCACCGCCACGGCTGGCATATGTACAGGCGCAAGACCCACATCACTTCGCAGCTGCAACACCGGCATCAACGCCATCGGCCTGTCAAACGGGATTTCTGCATGCACTATTGCTGCTAAGCTCGGGAAACACTCATTTTCACTGTTGGCCTTGACCCTGATCCACCGGAAAGTAAGGTTGATCCTCTTTCCACGAGGCTGGCTCGTGGCAGGCACCTTCCATGCAGGCAGAGGTCCGAGTATGGGGCCCAAAGAAAGCACATAAGCACAAGTTAGGATAGGGACATCCCGTATAACGCCCCTTGAAATGAAGCCCAATAAAGTAGGGATATCCCTATAAAATGCTTATGCTTCTGCATGAACTTTGAGACTGCGGCTGCGTGCTTGTAGTGCTTCTGGAAAAGACCTGCCAAGAGCCGTTTAGGCAAACTTCCCCTTTGCAACACGTAGAGTCGACGCGGAGGTATCCTAAGTATCCTATGCAAAGTCCGCGCTCGAAGATCATCCACAACCTGCTTTTTGACTTGCCAAAGGCCAGTCTGTGCCTTCCATCGTAGCTACATCGCCATCGCCCAGAGGAACTGATCCCAGAGCTTCTGAGGTGCCTGGAGATCACAATTTCCACCGGCCGACCCTTGCTTTCCTATTCAAGTCGCGGCAATAGCTGGTGATGCTGTGCTTCCTCATTGCTGTGGTGCGCAAACTCACAAAGCTACCGACACAGAAGGCTGCCGGCAGCCTACTATTACTAGCACAGCTTCGAGAATTGCTTTGCCGTTTCGTTGATCGCCACAGCAGGTAGTAACCTGTAGACAATGTGGAGAAGTCGTGGCGAAACTGCACCGGATTCGCCAAGGATGTCAACACGCAGGGAATCAAGAGCGAGTCAGACAGACAGACATACAGACAGACAGAGAGACAGCTCTGCAGGAGACGGCCTTGAAGTCTCCAGCTGAAGTCTCGCGCCGAACCCAGCGAAAGTGACAAGATCCTGAGCAATCCATCTCAAGTTGCTGAAAGCATTGCTTCAAGCCAGAGGTCCGTGAAATCGGGAAGACAGATCCGCCAATGGAAAGTGATGTTGAGAACTTGCAAGAACAAACAGATGCACAACCTCCAGTCTGAGCTCCGCTCCGAGTGTCGCAGGCCAACCCCTGAAACAAGACTTCATCGTCGCTGTGCCAACCCACCTGCTGGATAAGAAACACAGTCATAGGGTTCTTGCCTTGTTGAACGCACCATCTGTTCTGGCAATAAAGGCTCCGGATCAACGTAGGCATGACACCCAGACGTGCGCAGATCGTGAGTGGCTATCAGCAAGTTAAGCCATGTCTGCAAGGTCACGGAGGCCTCATGAGTGCCATCGTCGTAAACGTTGACATTGCAAGAATTCGGGTACTGGCCCTGCCGAGCGGCAGGTCAGAATTTGACCGAAGCACTTCCACAAGGCAAAGACAAAATGTTGTCGCTCTGCGCAATCCCAATGACTGTCGACACATGTCAATAGGAAGGTTGTATCGCAGTTGCACATCTTTCAAAAGTAGCAGTTCCCGGGGCTCCGCTGCTGTACGGATTCCCTTCTGAAAAAACACGAAGTCCCCCCTGCGTGATTCTAGCCACAACTGCTAGCTTTCGGTACGTCCTCCGGTATGCCGCAGAGCGTGCACAGCTCCTTCAAATAAAGCTGCAGTATGATGCATAATACGTGCACATGAGTTCGCAAGCTCTCCAATGTGTCAGGCGAGGTTCGAGATTTCTCAAGTTTTTGTGCTTTACTTTGGAGAGCTTAGGGCTCAGAGGTGGCAAGTCTTGGAATTTGGGCGTTTGAGGAATGTCCAATGTGCAATACGACAATACGAGTAACAAGGGTTGGGTGCCCGGGCCCCAAGGTTGGAGGCGAAGTCTGGCTGGTGCCCGAAAACTCGCGCCAAGAGGAGCGGGGCGGTCCTTGCAAATCTCTTTCATGAAGGGTGGATAGACCGTGGCGGGAAACCTCGGTGACTTCGAGACTTAGCCTCCATGTCCTCTGTTGCTCCGTCCTCATTGAGCGCACGGCTCCAAGCCAGAGTAGCGGTAGGGGACATCAGCACAGTCCTGCGCTGGAGCGGCTTCGTTGTTCCGAGGTTTCACCCTTCCGACGTGCTACATGATGGTGGCTCTCCTCTGAAACATACCAGATCACCTTGCGAGGCACACCCGGGAGCTGAATCCAACAGCCCTGCCAGGTCAGGCAAGGCCACACTGCGAGCACTGAATGTCCTGTCATTGGAGAAAGCTTTTTACAACCTGGACAAGGTCAGCCTCTCCAATGCGTCACGATGGCCAGGCTTCCATCCCAGACAGCCTCCTCCAACAGGAGGTTCATCCAACGCGAACACTGCTCTGCCGAGAAAGCTCGAAAGTTGACCTCAGGAAACTGAAAGCTTTCAGTTCGTCGGCGGCTTCAGCGTGCTGATTCTGAGGTGCCCTCCCCTGCAAAGCTCCGCCGCTGCTCGTCCTCACGCTGGGCAGTGGAAGTTGGAGATGAGCGAGTTTTCATGGAGACCACTGCTTTAAGCGATGTTCGTGCCACTGACATCCATGACAGCAGTTTGGGTTGGAAACCGGGCTTTGTGCCGCGGATTGTGGCCTTTAGAAACCCCCGACTTACTTCGTACAGCTTTGATCTCCGCAACCCAGTTTCACTTTCTTGCTTCACGTCTTGCCGGTCTTCGGCACGTCCAGAGGTACGCAGCGAAGTTTTCGAAACAGGTGGTTGGCAAAGTTCCCTCAACCTTGTCGAAACACCTGCAGCCCTGTGGCCTCTGGGCCTCACAAAAGGCGAGACACTCCGCCCTCGCCACCGCGCCTGAACCGGATACTGCCAGGTCCACGGTTTTGGCGACCTTTGCAGGCAGAGTTCATGCCTGGACGCACACGCAAGCAAAGCTGATGCCCGCTTCAGGCCGTGCAGACTGAACCAGCTTCCAAGCTGACGGCGCCTCCCCTAGCAGTTGCAGCGGTGCCTTCAGAAGCCGGCGAAACAATCTGCTCCAGGCTCGTGCTTCAACGATCTTCAAAGGCTTGGCAGCCTGGAAACTTCTGAAATTGCGGACCTTTGCCCAGCATTTCCCCATCCGAAACCTCGGCGCCTCGACTCGAAGAGGCTCCTTGAAAGACAGAGACCTGAAGCGGAGCGCGGAGATGCGCGGAGATGCGCGGAGCGCGGACGACGTTGGCGCATCGGAGCTCTGAGCCAGCAGCCGTGATCCCAGAACCCGTCCCACCGGGCCTTCACAGCGTCCGCACGGCTGCGATTTCTTTCTGCGCTCTCCTCTCCAGCCCGGCCTTTCGGATCCAGGCGCTTGGCCACGACATCTGCCCGCTCGCCCACCTTGTTCTTCTGGTCCTCACAGAGCGCAGAACCCACATCGTGCTGAAGGCCGGCCTGTGCTCGCACTGCTGTCCACGACTTGCCAGCCGTTCTGGAGCAGCAAGGACAGGACCTGCGTCGAGGAAGGGGAACAAATCGAGCTTCCGTCAAAGAGCAGAATCCAGCGGCAGCCACGAGCTCTCTTTTGCAGGAAAACTAAAAGCTTTTGGCTGGCGTCAAGGTGGCTGAGGACAGATGGGACTCTTTGTTCTCATTGCTGTCGCCACCGATGCAGCACATTGCTACATACGCGGTGCTGTATGCTCTGCCGTGGGCATATCTGACTATGTCTGGTCACGTCAAAGTCATCGGAACTTGAGCATCGCTGCTGCCGTCCGGACACGCAGTCTTCCCACCTAAGCTTGAGCCTGCCTGCGGGCACATGCCCTCAGGCCGCTGCTTGCGCCTGCGTCTCCTCACATGCTGGGGGGTTCTCGCTCGGGCCGGATGACGATCTCCACGTCATCAAGATCTTCGAGCTCCCCAACCAAGAACGTGTCCTCACGCGCGCGCAAAATCAGACTTAAACGAGCAACAGGGACTTTTCATGCGAGAGTCCTCCGTCTCCTCACCATGCGGATTCTCCGGTCGTGGCAACTGTCTGTGGCTTATACAAACGTCATCCAAGATGTACCTGAGCTCGCTGGCACTGTCACAGAAGAGGAGTTTGCAGGAATTGCCGCTCGCCGAGTGGCACGACTCGGTCATCAAGTGGGAAGGGCTCTGCTTCTTCCTTAGAGCACGTGTCATTTTCCGTCGCCCTGTCCACACTGTCCTCTCCACCATAGAACCTGACTGCACTCTTTTCTCACCGAAGCAACGGAGGTTCTGATTCGCAATTGGGCTGCACTTGCATGGTCAATCCGGTCAACACCGGATTCCCCAAGGGCAAAGGCGAATGACATGCTGTACACTGTACAATTTCGCGCAGGCAAGGAATCAGATATCCCGCTTTGCACTCTGTACGCCTTTTGCTGCACGTCTGCACACGTAGGCTAAGCAGCCCGTTTTGCAGAAGTGACACCGAGCACGAAGCCGACTCCTGCCGCCACTACGGCCGCAGCCCCCACCACGGCAACAGAAGTAGAATTCCAGTCCTTAAGGCAGCTTAAGGTTGAAGGGCTTCTTTGTTTCATCCCCTCTACATGCCATCAAAGTGTCGAAGCCACGATTTCCAAACTTGCCAGACCGGAACTTCGGGTAATTCACGACGATCGGAGGTGGGGCTGCACTGGAGTCGTGATTGTTCTCGGGTGGTCCATAGACCCGCGTGATGGGAATGACGCCTGCCCAGATGTGCTTCAGCTGCTCGACGTCTTCCTTGTCATCGTTGACTCCTTCTGCACGGATCTTCGCACTCACCTGGCTCGCGGGGGACTACAGCGAGAACTAACTTTCAAACGCCAAGGCATCCAAGGCACTTTGCCATCCTCCAGCTTGAGTCGGAGAACACGCGTCGAAGCGACCTCGGCGCTGGTCATTGGCCTGGCCCGGGCTGCCTGGCCCTGGCACATGTGGTCGGTGATGACATCCAGACCATGCCTCTTCGAGTCCTCCTCCGACATGTCTGCGGCTTGCCCATGAACCACGACACAACGGTAGTTCATGCTGGAATGCATGTTGGCTCGCGCCAACACTAGACCGTCCTCTAAGGTCACACAAAAGCATACATCAATGGAGCCATTCCGCAGTGCACCGGCACTCACATGGCCATGGAGGTAAAGAGATTCTCCTTCTCTTCCGAAGATCATGGGGCTCACCTTTGCCTGGCCATCTCCATCTACATAGGCCACATGTGCCACCAACGCTGCGTCCAGAATCTCGTTGACAACGACCTTGTCGTAGCTTCCCCGCTTTGCACTGCGCCGAAGCTTTGTTAGCTGGCTCTGCTCGTAGGACATCCTCTCCGGGTGATGAGCACTCCAGACTCAGCGTGGGCTTCTACCATGGAGCTGAATTCGGGCCCACATGACCGATGTTGAAACAACTGATTTCTGTTCCGCCCTCCGTTGGAGCAGGTGCTGTGGTGTCAGCCCTGGAGATGTTATGACGTATGATGCAAAAAGAGTGCTTCAACTATCGGGCCGCAGGAGGCTAGCAGTGAGCGCTACTGCTCCACAGGTGTGCCTTGCAAGTGCCCCGTCTGTTGAAAAGACTTGTGGCGGTGCTGTGCTCAGCTTCGCAGACATCCTCAGTGCTGCCAAGTATCATCTACTACAAAGGTGCGTTCACCATCCTCGAGGTTTGGAAGACGTCTCTCCACGCCACGGCAAAACAGCAAACTGCAAACCTTTGCCGGCCAGGCCCATGAGTCCTCCCAGGTGCAGAGCGGCTGGAGCATCTTCTGGGTCCTGCTTGCCTTAGAGCGAAGAGCGCTGCGAAAAAACCTGCCGTCCGGGCTGGGAAGTGCCGAGGCACCTCGACGACCGCGAGCCCGAGGCGCTCCCGGTCTGACGACCTTGGAGACAGAACGGAACGACCGAACGACCGAACGTGGCCAGGTTGAGCCCTGGAGCCGGTATTTCACCACCCAGCCCTCAATGAGCTCCTCCTCCTCCTCCTCCTCCTCGATCTCCCCCTCCGAGCCGTGCGCGGCAATCCCTGGGCAGTCAAAAAGAACGGGCTCGGCTTCACACCGATCCGCCATGGAGTCGAGTCGAGATGCTGGAGCAACGCGCCGGGGGCCGTGTGCTGCGCGCGCCGCGCGCGCCGTGCACCCCACAGCCTTTGAGGCCGAGGGCGGAAAGGCCAAAGCCCGGTCCTTAGAGCACTGCGGTAGGTTGAGATGACTCGAATGACGGATTGGAAAGGTGTTGCTGCTGAACTTCCTATTGCCGTTCCGAGCATGTTGTAAGTCTGGCCCTTGGGGTGTGCTCCGTCGCGCGAGGGTGAAGGGGCTTAAGTGCTTCTTCGACGAGCAAAGTCCCAATGCGATCCGGCTGCCGAGCCAGGCGTGGCGACGGAGTCCTAAAGGCTGAGCTTCTGCCACGGCAGCTCCCTGGCAGCACGGGCTTTTGCTGGTCTCGCGGGAGGGGGCAGCTTGGTCGAGCTGTTGGACCCTCCAAGTTATGGCCAAGACAGACAGTCCTGACCCCGTGGATTGGATGCACGTGATGTCCACGCCGGCTGCTCGGCAGGGCTCTGGAAGGGCAAGCACGATCGGAGAGCCATGGCTGCCAGGCTTCAGGCTAGATGAGAACGATGCGAGTTGGCTGGCAAACTTTCCAGCAGGTACTTGCAGGAGTCTTGCAGGTGGACAGTCAGTTCTGTCTGTTTTGGTCGCTACTGCAGTTGACACGGGAAGGCTACATGGAGAGGACAGGTATGCAGCTGGGTGCATGGCGCACACGACCTGAACCCATTTGCTCAACGATGCTTTGGGACGAACTAACGATTTCAAATTTTGTGCAGGCTGTGCCCAACTTCCATCCGCACCCTGAAACCGAGTCCTGCCAAGCATCCGTGCACGATTCAATACGACCGCAGCAACCCGCAAGCATATCTGCAAGCACCCAATGACCTCCCTGAATGTCTCTGAAGCGTCTCGGAGAACGAAAGCCTCGCCAGCACCTTCAGGCTGTTCTGCAGCACGGCCCGGATTCGCCGCGGCGAGGTGGAACAGGGTATTGTCTGGGCTGAGCCGCTGCTCACCAGACATCGACTGCACCAAACAGAGTATCTGCTGAGTATGGGAAACTGATGATCCCTGAATCGCTCCAAGAACCAGAACGAGAACAGTCCCGCGGCTGCTCGTCCTTTGCACCATGGCTTCAGAATCTTGAGGTGCTGGCTTTCGTCATCGATCAACGCCTCCAGTGTCCAGTTTCAAGTTGTACACCCGGAATGGCCCAGTGCATAGGCTGAGAGCTCAGGGTGCGGCTGCACCATGCGGCCATCTTTCCAAGATGCTGCGCACCTTCTCGACCTTACGGGCGAGTGCTGGCCTGGCTCCAGGCTTACGCCGGTAGGGTAACCCCCTGGGCCGGCCTTGAGGTGCTTCACAGCCCAAGCAAGCTGCCCAGCCTGCGCTTGCATGAAGAATCCGCCGAAAGACTTCAAACAGAGAAAAGCGAGTGCCTCACTCTCAGGAGGTCGGGAGGGCAGAGCTGCAAAGGTCCCCCGCCAGCGGGGAGGCGACACCTCGGCCGAAGCAGCGAGTGCTTTGAGGTGCGCTGCAGGGGCAAGGAACAGATCTTGAAAGGACAGGTCAGTGGTCCAGTGCTCCTGAGGCTGTCACATAGGTCGGCGTCTCCTTGCCAAGCGGATTGGGACGGATTCGTCACTTTCCAATCGAGCAAGGCTTGCCGGACCACGGGGCTGACGAAATCTGTTCGAACATGTTAGCAAGTGAATTTAGCATCAATCAAGACAAGCATTGCCGCTCGAGGTTCACAAAGATCATGCTGGAATACTGCAGAATACGACTTCCATGAGCCTCTTCTGCGGATCCAAGCGCTTGTTTTTACTTTTGACTCACATGTGCTCGCTCAGGGCAACACACTCATTCGCAGGGTTGTGCTAGGTCGGGGCTGCTTGGTCGGAATGTTATGCAGAATGCTTGCGAGAGGGTGAAACAGAAAGGACACCGAATTTAGCACAACCCCACTGGGGCGTGCGACTTTGACTGGCAGCAGTGGCCCTTGACCGGAGTTTCGGAGCGAGCCAGTGTCACTGCCGAAGAACTCGGGGAGCAAGGACAGCATGAGACCGTCGTGCTTCTGCTTCTGCTTTGGAGAAGATCGGGCTGGCAACACTGTCTGGATCAATGTGAAGGTGATCGGTAGCGAACCGTGAGCTTCTTCCAGACAAAGGGTGCTGGGTCCTGGTGTTCACGATCAGTCTCGTTGGTCGAAGCAGTGCTCTGCAGACAATGCCGAATAGCCTACCGGCCCTACCTCAGTGGGTGAACGGGCAGTCCTGGCCCCAAAAGCTGGAGGTAGCTTCCAACCTGACTTGGTCGCCCCCTCAGCTGCAAAAGCATTGCTTGGGGCGAAATCAGGCCAAAAGCCGGATTTGCCGGTCTGCATGAGATCCATGCAAATCAGCCAGGAAGCTGTAGCAGCCTTCGCGCACCAAGTTCGCCAACCTCGCAGCTCCAAATCAATCATTGAAGCATGTGCGAGTCCGGTTTCCTTTTCTATCTGCTTTCGAGCGTCCCGGCACCCATGGGCCCAGGACCCCGCAGAAACTCGGACACACGTGCTGAGACGTCGATGCGCCGGCTGGGGTCGGATGGGTGGCCGTACCTGATCAAACCCGGCAAGTGCCAAGCTTTCCTTCTCAGCGATTGCGACTCCTGACCTGACATGAAGTTATCCTCTGGTTTTGCACTACAGCCAATTGGAAAAGGTTGCCGTCCACTTAAAAGCAAAGACGCAAGCAAGCATTGTCGCTTCTTGCGCATTCCGCATGCGTGTTTCTTGCGTCCAAGGCACCAAGCCTCCAAGATCTGAATTTGACCTGTGTAGCTGCGAGTGACCAAGAGCCCGCAAGTCAGTCCTGAACTTCGATCGAGATGCCATTTCTCGGTAGGAAAACCTCTGTCGGCCATGCAGATGCTTGGCCAAATTTGCCCGACCTGGCAGCGTGTAATTGAAGATGTGAAATCATGCTGCAGAGGCTTGAGGTAAGGTAAACCGTATTGACAGCATTCGTCTCCAAGAAATCTGGCTCGACCGCTACCGAACCCTTGTCTATGTTTCTGGGGGCAGTACATTCAGTACATGCACATATCTACAAGGAATCCTGTCTATGGCTATTTTGGCGTCATTGCAGAAGAGACAAAGCCGCCAATAGAGTTGGAGAGGTCTGTTCCCCACTAGCGAACTGTGTCAGCGCTCCACGACCCACAAACCTGTCAAAATACAACTTTCACGCCTGCGTAAATAAGTTAAGAATATACCTTGGCTTGATGCTCCCGTAGGCGCAAGATACTCGACGAAGACTGTTGGATTAATTGCTCGAGCGGCATTTCGGCTGGCAGAAAGCTGGCCCAGGCACTCAGCGTGACATTCCCTGCGGGGGAGCTGTCGGCTTTCAAGTTCGATTTTCACTCTTCATGGATGTGCAGTGATGTCAAAATGGAAAAAGTGGCGAGGGCGCACTGCTTGAAATGTCAAAGTGGCTGCAGCGAAGCAGGCACAACTTGACAAAGGATTGATTGTCTGGCCTTGTTCATCTGTCTGTGTGGAAGATGGGACATACTCCTTGGATGCGAAAGTCATTCCCTAAAGTCTCATGAGAATCCTGGCGAGCTGTAGGTCCAAACCCTCGTGCCCTGCATCAGAGTATTTGGACTTCTCTGCACACTGGTGCATTCATTGAGTGTGGTAGAACATTCCGAATGAAGACTCTTGCTGATACTCGACTCTCACAGAAACCGACAACCAAATACTCTTTCCATGCTCCACCATGGTTCAGGGTTCGCCTCTGCATTTCCACGGATAGTGTTGTGGAGGCCGAAGCCAGGGCCACCTGGGCCACCTACACCACGGCATTGTGGATTCGGAATCATCCTGGCATTCAGCCTTACCGCTCAGGGAGGCATGGCAAACATGTTGCAGCCCAGGAAAAGCCACCAACACTGAACTGCGACAACGTACCTACCACGCTCTCGGACATCGCAAGCTCTCCAGGAATCCGGCTGCAGAGCTGTTGCTTATGTTGGGATACTTCCTCTGTGACGTACTAGCTCAGCTCATCTACTGGCACCTGATGGTTCTTGGGCCATCATCCGTGCCCTGCGTTCACAACTTGCTACAGCTGCTACTAGCATCATGTACGATTGCTAGCAGCTGAGCCAAATCTGTCTGCGAGCATGGCCATAGCTCCAGCTGCAGAATCCCAAAAGTTCGCTGACTGAAGAAGTCCAGACCTAGCTTCCGCCCGATCCGCAACTTTTCAACCCGGCTAGAAGTGAGCATCTCCTCCGGGCTCACCACGTTCTGGCGTAGTGCACCCGCCTTACTAGCAAACATGGCAAGGGCTTAGTTCGATGTTGTGGCTGGCTTCTTACGGATGCGGGTGCCCTTCATGTGCATGTTCATGTGCATCTCTGTGCACACAGACTCTTGTGCCAAAAGAGGCTGTGGCCGCTTTCTCTTTCCGTGCATGCTGCATGCTCACAGGGTGCAGCAAGGACCTCTGCTTGGCAATTCAGTGCTTGCATTGTCAAGGTTGAAGCGTACACACTCTGACACTTCGAAGAATAATGTAGAACGCTTCAAAGGCCAGCTTCAACGAGCATCAGTCACAGCCGAGGATGATGCCGCACATCCGAAAGCCAGACCATGTCTGCGCCAGTGTACCTGACATGAGGACTCGGACTCGTCGGAATGAGACACGAGCACTTCGAGTCGAGTTCTGGTTCCTCCGCCTTTGCGCCTGTAACAACTTCGTCTGGTGTGAGTCGAAGCACATTAAAGAAGGCAGGCGCGGGTGTGGAAACAGCATGGAGATCTGGGTTGAGCCGCTGTGTCTGCTGTCAATAGGCTGGCGGGCCACAGGGGGAATGTTCCTGCATTCCACATGAAGCTCTGCTTCAATGCCAACTCTGAAAGCGTGGGCCCAAACCGCCAGACTGTTGGCAATCGTCTTATCACAAGACTGTGGCAGCTGTGTCGCAGTCTTGCGAACCCTGAGGCTCTTGCCATGCGAAATCCACGGCGGCGAAACCTTGGCACAGATGCAGCTTTGGCTGACAAGGTCGCTAGCTGTTGGAGTTGCTTTATCAAGTGCCGTTAGCTTTGACCAAGCATGTGCTTCCAGTGGTTTTGAGATGGCAAACTATGGCATTAGATGGCAGATTCGACGGGGCCTAGAATTGCACACGACGATCCCAGGACCCCTCCGAGCCGAGGAGCATGACCAGCCCGATGGCCGCTCGATCAGGATATCCAGAATCTAGAAAGCCGGCTCTCTCACAGTCCGTGCATGCGGTGCAACTAGATGGCCCTAGCAGGATGTCACTTGATTACCAGCCGAAAAGAAGCCTCTTTCGGAGATGGAATGAACTTGTGATAATAAAGACTTGTGGACTAGCCGCATCTCCAACTGATTGGCAACATCAGCAGAGCCGTCACTCAAGCATCTTATCCGGCATCGTCGCCCTATCGTGCACACACAGAGACAAGCACCGACGGATATGGCGTCTCCTTTCCACTTCTCCGAACTGCAACTGCTGCGTGCACCACACCAGGACACCAGGTGGGAGCTCGGCGAAACCGCTGTCAACGACGAAGAAGTATCCGACTGGGGGGTCTCAGGCCTGGTTCCCTGGGCCGAGACAAAAATTCGCACTGGGATGCACCCAAGCTGGCACATTCTAACTACACAGCTGTTCGTTCCCCGGACGAGCTATCTGTCGATCCGGTTCCTGCACTTTGATCCGTCGAGAATCTCGCACAAGGCAGTCTCTGCCTGCGCTTTTCTCTGCTGAGAAGATTGTGCAGCAACTCTTGCCGTCATACTACTCCTCACGCCCACCCTGAACATTGAACTATCGTGTCTGAACCGTTCAGACGACGCCACTTGCTGGCCTTTTTTTGAATTCTGGTGATTAAATTTTGGGAACAATAACAAAGGAGGGCAAACGGGATTTGACCGCGTTCTACCAGCAAAATCAGGCACCCTCGGCACCCTCTCAACAATCAGCAAGCCTGGACAAGGCAAGAGGCTAGATGCCAGCGCATGAACCTCAGTACGAGTACTTGGAATCAAATCGGCATCGACCTCGTGCGCTCGTTCCTTATCGAGAAGGGGAAGCCAGCAACTAATCTTGAGAGCAACGCGTTGCAGTTGAGCAGACGCGCAAGCTCGAAAATTGCTCGGGTCTTGTTCCTGGCATCTCTTGCATTTTTTTGATGCCTGCTTCGATGCTCCCCTCATCGAAGCACACTCCACGGGCACACTCGACGCAGGAGCAATGTCGCCACACGAACACATGCCATTTAAGCGGCCAGGAACAACATACTCTGATCCTGAGAGCCAATCAGGCAAAAATGAATCCCGTAGAATCATTCGGTGTACTGGATCTCGGTCGTCCAGAGGTTCCAACTCTGGCTTCATGGCTTTTGCATCAGCTCTGGAAGGCGAAAAGGAAACAGCATGTCTTCCAGCGTATGTCTGCATCGACGAAGATCCCAGTTTTAGCTGCGGTGCATCTCATATGCCCCTGTGCTTAGGTTTGCATGTGGATGGTAAAAACAACTGGCTCGGGGCCAGTGTCCATCTAAGTCGAAACGGGAGCAAAGACCTCCATCGCTCCAAACACGGACAAGGAGCACAGAAAAAACGCTCACTCACTTGCTTCGGTCTCTGTTCTAGCATAGCTAAGAGTTTTAGAATCATGTGCCTTGCTGGTGCAACCTTGGATGTGTGAAGCGCGGGGCCGCTCGACTGAACTCACAAGGAAAAGATTACGAAATCGTCATCCGAGCTCCTTTGCAACCGGAAATAGCGTCGAATCTGCTCAGCTTCCTCATCCGTTGGAACTCGGGCACGTGGAAAGCCTTTCGCGCAGAGACACTGATTTCAAAGTTAGCTAGTTAGACTCAATTACAGTGCTTGCTATGAGCAAGACAATACAGCAAGTTACCAACTCTGTTTCAACACGAACGCTCGCTTTGGCTTTCAGAATCCTTGAATTCCGCGGCAATGTATGACATCAGCAACCACATGCTGAAAACAAAGCATTGCGATCTCTGCACTCCGCAAACCAGCTAACTCTTCTGACGGTCAGAGCGAGCACCTGGGCCGGGAAGAACGACAGCATCACTCGTGCTGCCGCGTCGTCGAACCTGAAATCGTCCGAAAACAAGTCAGACCAACAAGGGGAAGGCGACGATCATATTATGTGAATTAGATGAAGATGCACCTCCCAGTACTTGGGAATTTGCCTTCTGAATCAAACCTTGTCCCACATGCGACTTTGTTGTGGGGTCGCTTTGTCTGTGTTCCAACGGAACGTCGTCGCTTTGTGCTTGAGACATGTCGAACGTTGCCATCCTGCAAGTTGATTGGCGGTTGGAGGACTTTCTACGCGGCAGGATGGAAAGAAGCTCAATGTGCTGCTTGCGTGTTGCCACCGCACGCCGAAATCCCAGCCATGTAGCTTGACCTAGAATCTAGGTACAAGAGCTTGGTACGTTGCGCTTGGCTTTTGAAGCATGCATGGCACAGTGGCTGTTGAACCGCTATGCTCAAGAGGGGTACGGATTTACGACTGTTGACAATGCTGCATGTTCACCTTGCCGTTTCGCGGAGGTTGTTCCCTTTCGAAAACAATTGAATCTGGGAAGAAAGACTCTGGTTTGGTAACTGGTAGGGACACGGAGTCTAGCCAACACTTCTTTGGTGCAGCTCTCACGCAGCACGGCTCCAAAGCACTTTCTCAAGTCTGTGAGAAAACACAAAACGAGCTGGCCGTGAGTGTGTTACACGTTTTCGCCTCCACAAGCGGCGGTCTACAGCTAGCCTGTGAGTCGGTAGACATGCGTAGGGTGAGGTTGTGGGATGGGGTTGAGGTCGTGGCGTTCAAAAGCCAGTGCCATGTGTTGGTCTGGTACAGTGTTCGGAAAACCAGCAGCGACCGCACGCCCTCTGCACTGAAAACTGTCAGCAAAACCACAGTTCCTTTCCATACAAGCCGGGTGGGATCGAAGAATGCACCCGAAAAGCTTCAGCTGTGCCTTGCGGAAGTGATGAATGATCGTAGGCTGGGCTGTTAGGGTCCGAACCTCATGGTTCGTGTGAGTGGCGCAGGATTTTGCAGCAAGCCTTGTGAGTGGATGGCTTCAAGGCGGTTGTACTTGTACTCGCTGGAGGTCAAAGCTGCTGACTCTAGTCCGTACGTTACCTGGGCGCCAAATTTGATGCAGCGCGTCAAGTGCTTGCGGTCTTTGGCAAGTGTTGAGGTGATGTCTTTGTGTGTTCAGCCGTCGCTGCTGAGGGTAACGTCGAAGTATTTGGAGCGCAGCGCCTTCGCCTGGAAGTGGAAGATGCTCCGTGAGGTGGGTGGCAAAGACTGTCAAGTTAACATACAGATTGCTCTGAGAGTCAACCCGTTCGAGCGTGTGAAGCAGCTGCGCCGCACGAGTGACCATGCCGGCAAGCAATGCCCCGTCCTCAACATACGCCAAATCATAGACCCGGTTTTGGTTGTAGAGACAGGGGAGAAATTGCCCCCGTGCTGTGAATTCTTGGTCCACGTCGTGCATTTCCCGAGGAATAATAACTATGGCGAAAGAGGGCATCCCTGTCTGATGCCGGTTTGCGCTTGCTCCTTTACGGAGGTGCGTCCTGCTGCTGTACCGCAGATTGCTGGGGGTGTTGGGTGATTTTGTTGGGTGCAGGGAGGTGTGGAGGTACACTGTACCTATAGGTGTCGGGGCGTATCTTGTCGAGCGTTTTCTCCCAATCCGGTGTAAAAGTGCTTGTCCGGTGGCTTTTGCACGTTCGATGAACCGTCTGACTCTGCGTACGGGTTGTGCGGGGGAGCGAGAGGCCCGAAAGCCGTACTGTGGAGGGCGCAATCGTCGATTGCCGCCTGCACTCTGGTGCGAATGACTTAAGACTCGATGATGCAGACGCCCTTTCTTCTGCGAAGCCAGTTGTTTGGAAAAGAAGTGAGTGAACCAGTCCGCCGTGGCCGGGGACATAGGCAATAGGGCGGAGAGGGCGGGTGATGACCAAAATGCGGCTACAAGGGCGCGGCTATTTCGTCTTGAATATCGTGAAGCACGAACAATCAAAGACTCAGTGTCACAAACGCCCTTTCTTCTGCGAAGCCAGGTGTTTGTAGGCTAAATAGGCTTGTCGAAAGAAATCGCGCGTACAAATCTTTACAAATTTTACAAATCGATCGGAAAGCTGTACAAGTCTTACAATTATGGCTAGGCAACAGGAATTTTGCTATCACAGCTTGTTCTGCAAATCCCACTCTTAGAACCAGCACATCAAACTGTTAGAATAAAGATGTTGCCAAAAAGGATTCCAATGCCTAGCATGGCTTTCCACGTCCTGTCAAGCTCATGCCGAAGGCGTGCTCAAGCCGCGTTTGAGCATGGAAAGCCAAATAGAAACTATGCAGAGGAGGCTTACGGATATCATACCGCATCTCTGCGAGCTGCGCAAGCCCGTCATTCACATATACACGCACGGTGCGGTCCGAGGACCAACGGCCCATCAGACGAAGCCAGTCCATCTGTGGGTTTTTGGCGAAATACATTGTCGCACCGCCGCGTCTAAGGCTGTAAGGGCGGAAGCCCCAGCTGTGCATCCGAAGAGCCGTCAATCTGAAATTGTAACCGGGTACTGGCACAAGCTTGTCTCCAGGTTCGGACCTAGATATCCAAGTGGACAGTTTTCGGCACAACGATTCAAGGCTGATTGTGACGGAATCGGCTGGCCGTTTCCAATGCAAGGGACATCTGCGCATCGCAAAAGCTGAGAAAAGACCCACACATAGCATGAAGAAGGTCCTCCGGATGGGGTGGCGCCCTGTGAGGAATTTCCAACTTTTGCCAGGTTTTGACGAGCCTCCAAGAAAGGTCGAGGTGGCCGCGCAGGTGCGGGCGCAAATCCTGTAGTCCAGACAATGCGTCTGGGACAAGGGATAAAACTGTCCCCGCATTCCCACACGAATTCGATGTAATCCGAAAAAACCTCATCCAGAGCATCGCCTTTATCAGGGATGCGTACTTTTCTGGACTGGCAGAAAGCATAGAAAGCAGACATAGGTGAGTTGTAGCGCTTTCGCCCTTTCAACCCACGGTATTCTCTCCCAATGTACCGATTTTGCTGCGCCTTTCCTTCCTCTCATCTCTAGTGCGACCACTGGTCAAGCCTTGACACCCGAGCTAGACGGCTCGGCTCGGCTTGTCAGCGGGATTTTGAGGGGTCGGCACATAGCAGATGAAAGGATGGAGGCCAGCGGCGAGAGATAAGGATGCCATGCGACACATTACAGACTGGATCTTGTGCGAACTGGAGCGTCCGCGGTTGATCACATGGAGTGAGACAAGGCTGTCAGTCAAATGGGCGAATTTGATTCCGAAGCTTATGCTCCGAAGAATGCGCCATCGCAAAGATGAGTAAACGGCCCGAAGTTCAAGCCGAGTGATGTGTTCGACCAGCCACAAATGGTGCACCACCGCCATGAGTTGGCCGGGATAGTGTTCCTGAACTTCTGAGGCGCTCGACTCTCACTGGACACCTGTATGAGTATGTCCTCCCCCTTGGTGGACAAGAGGGTCAAAAGTTTGCAAGTCAGGCTCACTTCCAAGCTTGGGTCAGAAACTTTCCCAGGGATGGAGAAGGAACGCCAATGAAGCAATGCATCGGAAAGAATAGGTTCGTCACGACAGAACAAACACGTCCAGTAGCTCATTCAAGTCGGCAACCACGCAAAGTCCCAAAGGACGTAGGAGATGAAGCAACAACCAACCCACAACTGGAACACTCCAGGCGCAACCGGCCAAACTCATGCGTGTATCATCGTGTTTCAAGCAGTTGGATTTAATTTCATTCTTTGAAAGACAGTTGAAAGTGAAGTCTCGGGGCAGTCCCATGGCGCGTTCACGCTCTGCTACAGTGGACATGCGGCCACCATGACGAGAATGCCAAAGAAGATTGTCGCTAAGGATGCAAAGCCAAAGCTTTGACAAGGGCTGACTGAGGGAGAATTGCACAAAGGTTGTACTCAATCACATGCCCCTGGCCATGTCTCCCCAGTCTTCATCCGACACCATAACCCGAGAGGAAAGAACCGAAGAAGATTCCCAATCAAGCCACAGGAACAAGTCTGGTTTACAAAGGTAGGCATGTGCTCCTCCTTCCGCCCAATCCAACGCAGGAATCGATCCAACACAGCCTCGGGGAAGAGCCGGAGCAATGTGAAACAAGTTGGTCCATTTTTCCGACCTGACTTCCTCACCAGTGTAGCTGAGGGATCGAGTCTTTAGAAATCACTCCCAGTCAAACACTCCAACGCGGGATGACTAGTCCAATAAACGGTCGACTCGCTCACGAAGGGATTCCAAGATCTTTGATTAAATTCCGCGTGGTTCAAAGGCCTGAATGGCAGCATGTTTCCCTCCACTCAGGTAGTTCAACCCTGAAACCAGAAGGAACAGCCAAACTTCACGATAGTCGGATTTTCTCTCTCATCTCCAATACTCTGTCTCTGCTGGGCAGGGGCAATGGGAAGATGTCGGCACTTCGGATTCGATCTTCCCTTTTTGCCGTGGCACCTCACTGGACTTCGCAGAAAGAGCCAATGAGATCACCAAATAAACTGTTACGGCTGCCCAGAATAACATCAAATAGAACGCAAGCAACCGATCTGAATTGCAAGGTAAGGATTCCTCCCAAGCACAACCGTCACCCGTGACAGATCTCGAAGCTCCACGAGCGTGTAGGGGAGGCTCTAACTGAGGGTTGCGAGGCCTCGGGGGTTCCAAACAGTGAGCTCCCCCCTGATCTTTTCCTCCCCACGATGCTCCTTTTCTTGCCGTCTCCCTTCTTTCCTCTCTTGCCCTTGTCGTCCCGACACTGCCATCCCCAAGCTCTCGTTCTAGGTCTTCTCGGTGCTGAACCACACCCCAGATCGATCCGTTGACCACTCTCCAATGCGTTTATGCGCTGGTTCACAATCTAGGAGATTTCGCTGAATCAAACGGTCCATGACATACGCGAGAGTGAGCTCCCTCCGTTGGCTTGGTATCATGTCCCTTCGCAAAACGGTCAGCCGCAAATACTTCAGATTCATGGGGAGTACGCGACCTTCTTCGGTGCCTGCCTGCTCCACCAACACGTGGCTCATTTCCTCGACAGAATGGCGTGCAAGCAAGCCTGGATGTTTCTTCGCTAGCTGTTTGACTCTGTGCCCTTCGCGGAAGGGGTGACCTGAATCTTGCGAGCTCAGCGTTCCGCTGGATGAGCTGCTGCGGCTGCTCCCTGAATCGACGCTTTCCACATCTCGCCCTGGACCCTTCTAGCCTTCTTCTCTTTCTTCTTGCTCGCCCTGTCTTTGAGGACTGATCGCAAGGTGTGGGTTGCGCTCGAAGCTCCGGGTACCGGTTTTCAACTCTTCCTTGGAACTGCCTGTGTTTAAGCCTGCCGGATTTGGCTTGGGGGCTCGTTGGGCTGCCGGGATTCCTGAGCGATGTCTTGCAATTCTTTCTCGAGACCTCCCAACCCGGCTCCCTCGGGATGCTCTGCTACTTGGCCTACGTTTCCTGACCACACGGTTGATGCGTCCTCGATGCCTACTTCTGTGGCGTGACAGCCTGACCACTTCTGGTGGATAACCACCGGCTTTGCTGGTCTTGGCTGTCTGTGCCACTCATCAACACGGTAGCCTGTAACCCCCTGTGGCTCATCGTGATGAACTGCAGCTTCCCGTTCACGCGACATGGCTTACCCCAATAATTTCCCAGAGCTGAACTCCCGGCCAAGGATTGGGTCAACTGTCAATCCAATCGCGACGCTTCCCCGCGCGGATGAGATGTCGGTGATGCTGTCAGCAATACAAGGATGGTCACTTAGTTCGTTATCTTCTACGCGTCTTCGAGCTTTCCCCATCGATATTATGGCGTCACGGATGCTACTCGACTATCTTTGTCAAGCTGATGCCTAGAAGGAGTTGCCATCGCTGAGGCATTAGGGGTTCACGGCAAGGTGTAAGCTCTGACCCTGGAGAGAGTTTGTGAGAGATGGAACTTGCTGCAAGTTCCGCACACCGACATCCTGATGATCGAAAATCTGCTACAAGGGCACGGCTATTTCGTCTTGAATATCGTGAAGCACGAAAAATCATGGCCAGGAGTTTCTTTGCCGTGTTGGACCGTGTTGGGTCTGTGACGGGGCCCTTCCACTTCTAGATTTCGACGATCATGGCGGGGAGTTAGTTGTTCGGCATTGTGGCTGGGAGCAAGGACTGGTTGAGCACACGGCAAAATGCTTGCAGGCTGTGGTCATCCAGCCATTGCCACATCTCTGCTGGAAGCATGTCCGGGCCTGGCGCTTTGTTGACTGCGAGCTGCTTCAGAGCATGAGTTCTCCAGTCGTAATGGGACCATGGCCGGCGGGTATAATGGGGTGGTGGGGCCGGTGTAGAGTTTGCACAATAATTAGCACAGAATGGAATCGTGCATAAAAATGCACTGCTGGAGAGTCCCCAGACTATTGGTGAGCAACACGGAGGACTAGCTAAGGCTTTGATTCGAAGGTCGTGCAGGACTCTCAGCACTCGAACATTGAGGAGATGGAAGTCATCGTGACTGAATCTGTTACTACGAAGAACGAGCTCCGCAGACACCAAGGCTTTAGCCCAGCACAACATGTGCTTGGAAAGCAACAACGGGCAACTGGCTCATTGATTGACGAATCAGAAAATCTCGGCACACTGATGTCGAGTCGAAGTATGATGAGACTACTCCGTGCTATATCTGCCATCGAGCTCGTCAAAAGGCCGAAAAGGCTTCTGTACACCTCGATACGCCGAGGAACATGGCAAAAGCGCTGCAGCGAAACGCTGCGCCGCTGGACATCGACTACGAGACAAAAAGCTTGGTCATCTGATCATCTACAGGCGGGACAACGTTCCCGGCAGTTCCCCCACTGTCTGGTCCACAGTGAGCCGCGTCATAGGATTCTGCAAAATTTGGCTTATGAGTTTGCTCTGTGAGTCCCGTATTGAGACCGGGCGTGGCTTGTATTCTGATCACAAAAAGATAACTGGCAGCCTGTTCATCGAACACTGCCAAGCACACCTTGAAGTTTCGAGACCATTCTTCCGTTCGCCTGAAGAGTTCTGAGACAGCCTTGCGCTTGTCGTGGAGCATCCTGCACCCCCTCACTTTTCTGGAGCTCTCAACTCCGCTACCGGCGCTACCGTAAAGAACACAAGTGATCTGAACTCGAGCAGGAAGTCTTCACAGCCAAAGCAGGAAATCTTGAGCCAAACGAAGTGGGCATGGGATCTTCGCACCAGAAATCAACAAATCACAATCACGAGGACAAGGACCAGAACCAGAACGACCCGGATCGACTCTTTATCGGGTACCTGCGGCACAGCAAGGGGTGATAAGGTGTCGTTTGCTGCCGAAGCTCCATCCCAGCTGGGCCGTGAGATCTCCGATCATCACGATCTGAACACTCCTCAGCTCCGCGGAGCCGGTGCCAAAGAAAACCCAAGCTCTAGGCGACTCGTCAGCACAGGAAGAGCTTACAAAAAAGTCTTCTGCTTCAAAAATACCCAGAAATCTTCGGAGCTCAGCGCAAATCACACGTGACCCCCCCCTTCCCAAATGCCAGCCTCGGAGCTCTCGCTTATCCTCAAGCTCAGGCCCTGGCAAGGGGAACGTGCTCTGCCGCTGGGCGCAGCATCGGTGCCGAGGCTTCACGCAGATTTCAGAGCACACGTGTTGCGATGCGTTGCGGGGTTGGGACTTGCAGAGACGTCTCAGCACGGAAATATTCGACGATTGGAATTTACAGGCGGGACTCCTATTCAGAGTTGAGTTCCACCAGGCATACTTCAAGCAGGACATGGCATTCAGTACCCGTCGCGCAAATCTAACCATTGGATCACAGGTTGTGGTAGTACGAGAAGCGACATCACCACTCCGTGAGTCGCAAACATGGCCGATCCTGATAGCCTTATACACCTCCAGTTCAAACCAGAGCAACTCTCCAGCCTGCTCCTTACCTTTCTCCGGGCTTCTGTAGAGCGCCTCCGTGCCACCACTACAGCATCAATGGATCGTGAGGCTGAGGCTTGGGCAACACCTGCACAACAGCCCGTGATGGAAGCGAATCCTGGAGCCTGACACCTGCCTGGACACATGGCCTGCCGCAGCCGATGGTGGTCTCAAGCCACGTCAATGCATGGTGGCACCATGAACGGACACGCACCACAACTGAACCACTGCGTAATAATTGCTTACGGAGCTCAAGTATTGAGCATGCTCTGGGAATCTACACTTGCCTCATCGTCAGAATCGCGTTCGTGCCTACTGCTACAACTCGTCAGAATTCCGGCTTTCGCGGGCCCAGATATCTGTGTCGTCTCCCACCATTGTACCAAGGTCTCGTACTCGTACGCAAGTATCAAAGGCTACATGATGCCCCAGAGGTTCGGAATATGTAGAGCTTTGGGCGCCGTAGTCACATCCACAAACCCTAGAGAGACGTCACTGTGACCACGGAGCCCTATGCCAAACTGCAAGTGTACCTCCCAGAGGCCCGCCCGCCTCGGCTTGCCTCGGATGGAACGTGTCAAAGTTACGGGCAGGAACACTTCTGACAAACTGTCGGAGCTTTTATGCACAGGATATGCCAACTGATCCGGGAAAAGGGGTTCAAATTGCTGGGCCGCTTGTTCTTGCAGCTTTTGGACGTGCAGCCTCCCCGGAATGGGGAGCAAGGCGGCTTGTTGCAGTGCTTGGCAGCCCGCAGTTGCGGCTCAACCTACTGAAAGTCCACGGCCATAAGGTGGCATGGTGACGGCTCAGTTGCGGCTGGACTGGATGGCTGGAACGGATGAAGACAAGAAGAGATCATGCTATGAATAAAACGGGCAGAACAGGATACGGATCACAGTGGGGATTCGACCGACAAAGACGGGCTACAGGGCCTGGAAAGTGAAACACATCTTGATGATTGCTATCTTGATCCCAAAGATGCTGTCACAGCAAACCCAGCCATCCCATCGTCTCTCCGACTCTACGACTGACATCTATGACTCCGGTCGCGGAGCCTTTTGATTCGCTGGTTCTGAATTCCTTTACTTCTGGCCAGTCATGGAAACTTTGAAAAAGCATCGGAAACGTTTCTTACAGCCAGTGTTGACCAGGATCCGAACACGACGGGTGCCAACAAGCTGCTGAACTGCCCATTGCATCATGGTTGGGGTCACATAGCGTCGGATCATCCTGTTAATGTCGGCAGGCTTCCCGTTGTCCTTGTCAACAGTATCAGATTGGATGCGGCTGGGCATGTCATGCCACGAAAGCGACTTCAAGATGATCTCGAAATGTCGGTTGTCCATGTATTGGCTTCAGCCTAGTTGCTTCTCATTATCAACGGGGCAACCTCATTAAGGCCGGGACCAACACAAGCACGTGGCTAGCATCCCGAGCATCTTCGCTCACCAACGCCGCGTAATACGCAAGGTTCCTGAGCAGGAACTCAAAACTGAGGACGCTCAACATTCAGCTCCAGCATCCGCATCAGCGCGCTCTGACATATTGAGGGCAGAGCTGTGCAAATCCCTGGATATAAGATTCTCCGATTGACTTGATGCCACTCATCGCGCCCTCGCTTTGCAGCAGACGAAGACGCCACTCGCACGTCGCACAGCTTTGTGCGTCGATGAAGTTGACGATCGCAAGGCCCGAATGGGAGTGTCCACGCCGTGGAAGATAAAGGAAGTTGTAACGCTTCCACTCGAAGTCTCCACACGCTGTGTCCAAGAAATACTGTACCGTTCTGACCGTGTAGTTCTTGGAGATGCCCCTCCTTAGAAGACCATGATTGCATCAGACTGCCATGATTGTGCCATGTCCCCCTTACACAAGTTTACAGATTCAGGCAAAGAGGCAGGGCCAGCGTTGTGACGGCTTGCTGGTTGTTCATGCCCATGCTTCGTGAAACGGCAAAGCCTTCGCTTGAGCCTCTCACGCCGCTGCAGCAGGCAAGCTCTCGTAAAAAATGCACATTCCCTCCAGATGAGCCCGGATGCGTCTCGGTCATTTAGATTCTGCATCGCTCTTCTGAAAGAGATTCCATGATATCTGCAGCGGGCATTGTTAATTAAAGGTGCGAAACTGCAAAATTGACAGCGCTGCTTATCCAGAATCCCTTGCAGGTGCCCAGAAGCTGTCTGAACATTGACGTCGGTGCGCTCCACACGTGTCCACATGGCTCCGTGCCGTCGAGGCATGGCTGGAAGGCTCCATGTCTGAAACGAACCATGTCCGGAGGCTCTTGAGGACCATACTTTTGCTGGATGACACTTCCTTCAATCATGCACGCTACCACGGGAATCACAACTGCTGCCACGGTCAAGCATTTGGCCAGTGGCTGCTGACGTCCCGAAAGGAATGAGGGACTCTTAACTCGGCTTCTCGTGAGCGTGTAGGAGCTGAGACATTCCCGAGGGATCGATGCCCTGCGGCCCTGCAGCAAGCAAAATGTACGAGGTTCCCACGTTCTCAGCTCCTTCAGGCCACACTACTCACCTTTGCTCGCTACGCCAGGCCACACTAGATGCTCGGCGACACAATCACAAGGAAACGAATTGCCTTTGAATTCGGCTCGCCTGCCTGCAGATGGTATAGGACAGTAGTGAAACCATCAGCACTACGATCCCAGATACGCAACTTCTCACGCTGAGAGCAGCAGGACTGATATCTCAGAGGACCGTGGTGCTTCATGGTCTCAGAAGAGGAAAGCTCCCGAAGGTCACAGAAGGGCACATTTCTGAAACAAGGCAAAGCAAGCATGGCCATATGGCTTGCACACGCCATACATACAAGAGCCTCTCAGAAGCAGAAGCCCTCCGGACAAGGTAAATCATCCCTGTCTCACGGTCGGAGGATATCCGGCGCCTCCTTGTCTGGGCCTGTCGGAGCTGCGTAAAAAGCGAGCGAAAGCGCAGTCGAACCAAAGCGACCGAAGCGCAAGAATAGCTGCGGCATAGAGTTCTGCGGCGGCCTGCGGCCCAGAAGCACCAAATGCAAGGCTTGCATCTGAATTAGGTTATGGTCATCTCTTCTTCTTGCGGCTTTGTTCAAGAAATGCTATCTTTATCAATAGCAGTTAGAGTAGCATTAGTATTAGCATTCGTGAAAGGTTTAGTCGTCGTCGTCGTCGTGGGTGGGTGGGTGGGTGGGTGGGTGGGTGGGTGGGTGGGTGGGTGGGTGGGTGGGTGGGTGGGTGGGTGGGTGGGTGGGTGGGTGGGTGGGTGGGTGGGTGGGTGGTGGGGTGGGTGGGTGGGTGGGTGGGTGGGGGGGGTGGGTGGGTGGGTGGTGGGTGGGTGGGTGGGTGGGTGGGGGGCGTGGGTGGGTGGGTGGGTGGGTGGGTGGGTGGGTGGGTGGGTGGGTGGGTGGGTGGGTGGGTGGTGGTGGTGGTGGTGGTGGTGGTGGTGGTGGTGGCGGTCGTAGGCGTCGTCGTCGCGGTGGTGGGACCCCTTGGTAAGCAGTGCATCGAACGCAGGCTGTTATCGTTGTCGCCATAGTCTTGTTATCGTGTTGACCCTGCCATGACCCTCGATTTTCAGACCCCGGGAAAGCTCATGCATGCCGACATAGCGCGAGATCCGGGATGTGCCGATGTCGTGTCACATTCTTCTTTCGCTTTACCACCCAAAACGAACCGGAACCTGAACAGTGACATGTCAAAACTAAACCAAAAAGCTAGGGATATTTACACAATCCAAAGTGGTGCAGGTATCGCATCCGTGTCGTCGCATGTCGCGGTGTCGTCGCTTATCGGCCACACCTGGAATGTGTTCTCGTCTCCGGCAATCAACTAGACGGATCGCTTCAAGGGGGTTGCTTCATCCATCTGCCCACCCGACAGCAACACATCGCCTGCTGACTGCTGCTCCAGCCGAAACCTGGACCAAACAAGACGCTCGCGGAAGTCTAAACACTGCCGGTAAGACGAACGTTTCACTGTGGCGGGCTGCGGTTTGGCAGGCTGAAACTATGGGACTTCTTCCAGCAAAGCTCCCAAGAAAGCTGCTTGAATGCTGCAACGGCCCCTCAGCCTGCCAATTAAACAAACGCATCATGCAGGTGTTTGCGGCTTCAGGGCATGTCAGTGCGCCTTCTGCGGCACGTCCACTCCGCGTTCACAGAGGCTCGCCACCGCCTCAACAGCATTCGTGCTGAATTTACTGGAGTGGTCAAGACCGCTGGAGGCATGCTCACCCCACACACATTTGTTGGGTCCGATACTAACACGCCTAGCAAGAACACTTCAGCAACTACCGTTCTCAGCAGGTACCTGCACGAAGCGAGCTGCGATGCGTCTCTTTCCGTTCCAGTCTGAAGCGCATGTTGCGTCTTGGGTGAACCTTCGCGCCCCACCGATGATGCCAGAACGAACAGCACGTCCTTTCGGACGTCTGGATTCTGTCAACACACAGGGTCACAAGCCAGCCTCAGTAAACCTTGATGACGGAATGCAAGACTTTTCAAGACAGACCATACGATTCGAATGCCCGCACGTTGGTCAGTCATTCTCCTGGACGGAGATGAAACTCATGCGGTAGCCGGTACCGGGCCTCGAGAATCTCGAGCCCTCAGAGGGGCAGCCCATTGCAGCCCGCGCACGCGTGCACGTTAGCTTCTGGGGCATCTTGGTCGAGGGGGGCTGAGCGAGGGTGGCAGCAGCTCTACAGCTTTGGAGCTCGAAGCCGAAGGCTGTAGAAAGCACAGGTGTCAAGCGCTTGCAGCCACATATACTTGCACAGGTCATTGGCCTCTTCAAGGCTTGCGAGGCCCTCTGCATGGAGATCCAGCTCCGCTCGAGCACTGGGCGTGGGCGGAGCAGACATGAGCGAAACTTCGACTTCCGGCCGATTGCAATCACCAACCTTTGGAATCTACGAGGTGAAAGACGAGGTGAGCGAGAGCGAGAGGAGAGCGAGAGAGGGAGAGAGGGGGAGAGAGAGGGGGAGAGGGAGAGGAGGGAGAGGATGGCAACCCGTGGACCTGCCGGCCAGCCCGACGAATTCATCTGGCGGAGATGCAGCGTTGAATTCCTCCTCACTGGCAAACACATCATAGCATTGCTTCAGGTCAGCAGCCCGGGCCCGGGATTGATAGTGAAAACGCATGTCATTCTTGAGGACTAGACACGACGACTCGTCGACACAGTCGGAAGCCAGAAACCGGCAACCTATGAGTCACTGGTGGGACCTGGCGAAAAGCCTCGCGTAGGCTCGTGATGGCAGCCTTTGCAGTTGAGAAGGTATTCAGCGCCTGGCTCCGAGCAAGGACATGACAGTGAGAGCTTGCAATGGCAATCGTCGACCCATGTTCAGTTGTCCGAGATGGCAAGCTTAAACCCTTTGCACGACATGCCATCGAGACATCGGTGGACCAATTAATTAATCGCAAACGTGCTCAGGACGCAAGCACAACATCCCAGATCAAACGCCTGAATCACGCTTAGCAAACGCCTCAACGGCATCTCCGTCGTTGCGGCAGCGGGATCGGAGATTCTCCTGGCATGCCCACTGACTGCTTTGTAATCTCGACGGCTCGCTGTACCCGTGACAAAGAAATCCAAGTTGCCTGCAGCTTCCGCAATTCATTGAGCCGGCTGCCGTATTCGGAGTGTCCTGCCGTTGAAGACGCAGCTGCGTTGTGTTTTGTGAATGCTTTCCCGTGCAAGAAGACACCACCACCAGCCCAAACCATGCGCAATGCCTGTGTCAATGTGAGACAGAGAGCCGCTCTCGTAAGCATCCAGGGACCTGCCAGGCAACCCGCAGCAGGATGCAACTTGATGCAAAAACACGATAGCACACATTGCTCCGATGTCTGGCCCCTGCACAACTGGTGGTGTTGGAAAGCCGCCAAGTGACAGCACTGGCTCATTGCTCCAGCAGCAACACGAGGTCACACTCATTCAAGTTCGGGCCCAAAGCGAGATGTCAGTACAGTTTCCTGTTGAAAAGGAACCTTCTCCTTGCGATCTTGAAACCCGACCAGTTGCGTCGGCCTCTCGACTTGGGTTCACTTTTTGCTTGATCTCCGGTTCGGACATGCTCTCATATCGAAGTCCCACCGTGTCAGGCTGACTCCGGACGCTTGTCAAGGTTGTCTCGAGGTCACGTTCAATCCGCACCCCTTCATGTCGTGCGCGTGCACGCCCTCGCACCCGCCCGCGTAGGTCTGAGACGACTTGCTTGGATTTCGGGAGGAGTGCCCGAGCTCGACCTCGGAATCTTGCAGAGCCTCACGGACCGAACTTGGCAGCAACACAAGCTCCACAACAAACTGAAGAAGCCGAGCTCAGCAATAGCCATGTGTGCTTTCAGCAGCAACTTCCGATCGCAGTATCTGAAGCCAGCCAAGGCTCGTTTATATACATGGCAGGTACCGACTATACGATAGCACGTCCCGACTTTGATGCCTGGAGAATCGTTCGCACTCGCACCTGGTTCCTCAGACGCCTGAAGAGCCTGAGGTCCTGAATGAATCTTCAAGTTGCTCAGGAAGTGGCTCCAACAGTTCGGCTTCGCGTTCATTCAGCTGAGCTCGGACCTCGCCGGACCCGTTTGCAATGAGAAGCTGGGAATCAACGGTGCGATGAGGACATCTACGAACGTGAAAGCAGCGAAGGTCCCAAAGACTGCTCTGACAATGAAGAGGAAGAGACACGAGTATGACGACGACGATGACGACGACGGCGACGGGCGTGATGACCACGATCACACGACAACGCCCACGCCGACACCGGCGGCAACTGACCAGAGGGGAGGGGGAGTAGGGGAAGAGCCTATGCATGCTAAAAAAGGACGACACACTGATGACTGCTAACTTTGCAGAAGATGCGGGCTGCTTTGGCCAGGTCCTGATTAAGCAGTTGGGGCAACATCAAGACAGCTTATCAAGACTGCACGCAACTGAGGCCACAGCTCGTGCAAAGGCGCTTCGCACGCTTGCGCGCCCGCGCGCTGCGGCGCGTTCAATGTCCTCGTCAGGTTCAGCACTGATGTGCATCTTCAGGCTTGGGTGAAGCTCCGCTCCACATAACGGCAAACGGCACCCTTGGCAAGAAGTCCCAGAACAAACACCGTGCCAGGCAGCATGCTCGGCTAAGCCTTATCATAAAATCTGAAAAGTGGTGAGCGCAACTCAGAACAGGCAGGGCTTTCGTTGACACGCCAGCAAGAAGACAAGAACCCGAATTGCAGCTCTGAGCCTTTCTTCGCCAGGCCAGCCGGTCTCCGACCATGGAGAAATCATCCTCCAGAGTTCAGGGACTGCCCTGGGCCATGGGCACCCTCAGACCCTCTGGGGAGCAGCGCCTCGAGAGCGATTGCCTCATCAAGCAGCGCTCCGGCTCTGGACTTCAGAACCTGCCGTACCGCCGTACCGCCCCTCCCGAACATCTCGTCGTCCGCGTCACTCTCATACAACGATGAACAATGAACTCTGCACGGCAGCGCTCAGCACTGTGTCGAGCTCTTGCGCTCCTTTTTTTTTCTGTTGACTGCAGATGCGGCACGGGCATGCTGTAGGCGTGCGGCAAGGGATAACGGCTGTGAGGCCTCAAAGTTAGTCCCCTACTTTTTTTATGTTGGTTTATACTTGCTTTGGGATTCGGGTGTGCATTTACATAGGATTTCCCTAAGACTCGCAAGCTAAACACCTCCAAGTGTGTCTTGTTAGCTTGAGGATATGTACTTGGTTGTCTCCCTGCCATACCCACAACATGCCATGCAGCTAGAAAAGTCTTCTAAGTGTGTTGTAAGATACAGGCCGAAGGCTTCGAAGTGCTCTGTAAGATAGAGGCGAGCGAGGTCGATCGTGCAACTCCTCATCAGCGTGGGCCGGCAGCTGCTGGCCGACGCATGCTCTTCTTGGGTGCAGCAGACGACGGTTCCGGTGCTGGTAGCTTCTGGCGAACCTCTTCCAGCAGATCAGGCGGGAGTGCGTCGAAGCGCACAAAGAGCATTGGCCAGCAATTGGAGCCGTCGTAGTCAGCCCTCATGTTCTTGCTGGTGGGCCAGACGAGCTTGCCACGGGAGATCCGAAACCAGGACGGATTCTGCTTCTGACCGCCTGCCTCACAACAAAGCTGGTAACACCGACTTTTCCACTCCTCATTGCTGTTGCACCGGTCGAAGGCGTAGCGCTCGAAGACCGTCTCCTGTCTCGCGGGCGGCGGAGGCACAGGCCCAGCCAAAGGTTGGTTCCATCCAAGGTAGAACTCGCGAGCTCGCGGCAGAAAGAACGTCACCAAGCTCTGCTTTTGCTGTAGCAAGGTCGAGTAGTCCCAGGCCGCCACCTGTTGCATGATCTCCAGGATCTTGCTCTTGGCCGATGGACGATATACCTCCCAGAACTGGCTTTTCGCGCCAAGGCTGTCTCGCGATCGCTTCGCTCCCAGCAGCTACCATCGCAGAGCAAGAGCTCGCGATGGTAGCGGAAGAGCAGTCCATGGCAAGACTGCTCCGCCAGCCAGCCAGTCGTGTCGCTCTGACACAGCAAAACAGCCAGCAGGTGCCATTCGTGCTCTGTCGTCTTGTAGCCAGGGACCGACTGGGAGTAGTGGGAGAGGATGGTTGAGCATGGTACTGACCTGTTCGCCAGCTTCGTGTTCCAGCATGCTTTGCCCAGCTTCAGGAGTAGGGGTGTAGAGTTGCGGCGCAGCTCCATGAGGTGGACGACTCCCAACTTGTCCGCGACTCCAGGTAGCTGGCTGAGCTGTTGGGAGAGCTGCTGGGACATCTGCCGCTTGCCACAGTAGCCGGTGAGCTCGGTGACGGCCACGTACAGGTCGCGCCAGCTTTTCAAGCTGGTCAACGGCAGGAGCTGGCTCAGGGGCTGACGCCGACCAGTGAAGAGGCGCATCAGCAGAAGCTCGTGGTCGCTGTAGCTAGGGACATCTGCGCACTGGTCATGGATGTCCTTGGATATGCTGACAGCAAGCGAGAAAGTGGGCAGCAGGCGAGACCACGTGGGCAGACAAAGTGGGCAGACTAGCGGACAGCAGGTAGTGGACACCACGTGGGCAGACAGCATGTGGGCAGAAAGTGAGCAGCAGGCGAGACCACGTGGGCAGACAAAGTCGGCAGACTAGCGGACAGCAGGTAGTGGACACCACGTGGGCAGACAGCATGTGGGCAGAAAGTGGGCAGACAAAGTGGGCAGACCAACTGGTGGGGCAGACAAGGAAATTGGGCAGCAAGAGTGGGCAGACATGGCGAGAAAGTGGGCAGCGCTCGCGCCACGCAGCGACCCGCGTTTGGGGACAGCAGGTAGTGGACAGCACGTGGGCAGACAGCACGTGGGCAGAAAGTGAGCAGCAGGCGAGAAAGTGGGCAGACAAAGTGGGCAGACCAACTGGCGGGGCAGACAGCACAGCACGTGGGCAGAAAGTAAGCATGAGATGGCAGAGCAGGACGTGGGCGGGCAGAGCAGGTGGGCAGAAATTGGGCAGCAAGAGTGGGCAGACATGCGAGAAAGTGGGCAGCGCTCGCGCCACGCAGCGACCCGCGTTTGCGGACAGCAAGTAGTGGACAGCATGTGGGCAGACAGCACGTGGGCAGAAAGTGAGCAGCAGGCGAGAAAGTGGGCAGACAAAGTGGGCAGACCAACTGGCGGGGCAGACAGCACAGCACGTGGGCAGAAAGTACGCATGAGATGGCAGAGCAGGACGTGGGCGGGCAGCAGGTGGGCAGAAATTGGGCAGCAAGAGTGGGCAGACATGGCGAGAAAGTGGGCAGCGCTCGCGCCACGCAGCGACCCGCGTTTGGGGACAGCAGGTAGGGGACAGCAGGTAGTGGACAGCACGTGGGCAGACAGCACGTGGGCAGAAAGTGAGCAGCAGGCGAGAAAGTGGGCAGACAAAGTGGGCAGACCAACTGGCGGGGCAGACAGCACAGCACGTGGGCAGAAAGTACGCATGAGATGGCAGAGCAGGACGTGGGCGGGCAGCAGGTGGGCAGAAATTGGGCAGCAAGAGTAGTGGACAGCACGTGGGCAGACAGCACGTGGGCAGAAAGTGAGCAGCAGGCGAGAAAGTGGGCAGACAAAGTGGGCGGGGCAGACAGCACAGCACATGGGCAGAAAGTACGCATGAGATGGCAGAGCAGGACGTGGGCGGGCAGCAGGTGGGCAGAAATTGGGCAGCAACAGTGGGCAGACATGGCGAGAAAGGGGCAGCGCTCGCGCCACGCAGCGACCCGCGTTTGAGTTTAGCTCTGCAGCTGCAGTGGCGGCGGCTTTGGCGCGTGGAGAGCACTGAGGTCCACGTTGTCGGGGAGCTGGCTCCTCCAAGCTCCGCCTCCACGGAGTCGGTCCAACTGGCGTCGGAGGTCGTGTGGCAGGTAGAGAGTCTTGGGTTGAGTGCCATGCAACTGCCACAAGGTGTCCATGCCATAGAGGCACCGCCGTCCCGACCTTGTTCGCGGTGGTCAGCATGAACATCGGCGCGTATGGAAGATCCTCGTCTTCAGCTTTACGACGTCCAGGCGTGCCCGCACCGGAATCGTCGGCGGGATCTGCTGGGCAGGCCGTGCCGCTGACGAGAAGATCTCGTACATCTTCGTCTGCTGCTCCAGGCTGCTCTTCTGGAACTCCATCTGCTGAGCCAGGCTGCTCTTCTGGAACTCCGCCATTTGCTTGTTCTGCTCTCTCATCTGCTCTAGCATCTGGCCATTCTGCTGTAGCAGCTGGCCATTCTGCTGTAGCATCTGGCCCATCATGTTGAGGATGGCCACTTGCATCACTGCGGGCCCGCTGCCGTGCCCGCCGTCTTCCGCCTTCACGATCTGCAGGGACGGGACAGCACTTGCTACGTTGCCCTCGCGTGGACGAGGCTCCTCTTCCTGCTCTGCCCGCTGCTCAACTTTCACAATGGCACGTCTGCCGACTCTCGCCAGATCCTCTGACCCCGCCGGCTCCGTCTCTGACCTCGCCGCCGCCGCTTCACTTTCTGTCCACAAGTCCAACAGGTCTCCACTGCGTAGTTCTGCCTCGTCCTCGGCCATTTCCTCCTCCTCACCCTCTCCGGCTAGGTCGGCCTCGGGAGCAGCGCCGATTCTGTCCAGATCCGGGCTGGAGCCGTCGTTCTCCACATCCTGTGTGGTCAAAGGCTGCGGCGCCTCGGAGCCCTGGGAACTCTCTGCCCCGCCACCGCCTCCCAGCACTTGAACAGACAGCCCCATCTGTAGAAGCCTCCGTCTCTTCGATGCCTGAGTAGCATCGCCGGCCTCCCTAAGCAAAGGCTCCTCGGAGGCTTCGGCTCGGAGCCGATCTTCCATGCTCGCGCCGACCAAGCCTAAGGCTTCTCAGCGCTGCGAAACTACAACCTCGAGAGGAAACATCAAATGCGAAGAGTTGCTGAATGGCTCGCTGGCAATTAGCAGGACCGTGAAATTAACATCTCGCTGCGACCCCACCGCCCGAACCTCGTGTGCCTTTGCCACACGCAAGACCTGCTGCAAGTTGCGACACACGCCTTCCGACGGACTGCAAGGCATAGCAGGGCCTAGCCCCGCACCTCATGATCACGGTGCCGGCCATTCTTTTGAATCACACACTCCTCCAGATCAGCTGCACCAATCACTACCACTTAGTCGTCGACCTAGAAGAGGAGACATCCGTGCAGCCACGAGGCAGCGCAGATGCAAAGACACTCACAAGTTGCACCTGATAGCAAGCAAACCGGACCTGTCGTGTCCACGCTGTCACCGTGGCCTCACAACCTCGCTTAGGACCTGGCAGAAGTAGGTGGCTGGCTCTTCCGGATGCTCTGGGCACCTGTCAACAAGTTCTCGGAGCCACTGCGCCTCCCAGTGCCGGGGGCCGAGCCTGTAGATATGGACTGTTCGTCCCGACGGGCGAGTCGGCTCCTCCACAGCCAGCGGTTCCCTGGGCACCGCTTATATAACCCATCGAGACTCCACACGTTTTGATGACAGCAAAAGGCCCGTGGCTGGTGAAGCTTGTTTCCTCCTGTGTAGCTGCAGCACATTGATGACGACTATCATGCGAGGCAGCAGCACGGCAAGTTTTTCTGCCTGTATCGTCTTCGATGCTTGCACTTGCCCTCGCACTCACACACTGAGGGCCAGGCGGTGTTCTTTGCCACTGGACCGGGCTGACTGAGGCTGTCGACGACACCTGCGCGATACCATGCCTCCCCAACCATAGTCCCAAGACATGTGTTGAAAGCTCTCGAATAAAGAAGGGGATTGAAGTAAACGGGACCACAAGACTCCGTCAGATCCCTGACACATATATTGCTGCTTGATGCCTGCCATTACATCCGACCATCCACGCGAGCCCTGTGGCCGACAGGAGAGGGAAGCACAAAAGCCTGCTGGGGCCGGGCGAGTGCCGCTTTTGTCATGCCCCGTTGTGCTGAGCCATCCTGTCCGTTCTTCCAGGATATGGACTTGGTGAGTGGACCACAAACTTCGCAGCGATGCGCTATGCGGGTTGTCTCTGATCAACGCTAACGAGCAAGCACGCAGCCTGCTTGAAAGCAAGGAAACTGACACCAACAGTCCTGGCTGTGAGGGCTCTCAGCCTCCCGCAACCCGCGCCCGGTTCCTGTTCCTGAAGCTGGGGTGGAACACAATTTCTAGTGGGTGAAGCATGACATCAACGAAAGCTCGAAAAGTCGCTCTGATGATCCACTGACGTACCGTGCGTGAAGTTGTGGGTTCCCTTCGGAAGCCCAGACAAAGAAGCCGCAACGCTCGGATCCATGTCAAGAAGGTGCAATCCCGAAGACCTTTTTGGAGTACATGGGCCGTCGTTGGGAAAGCGTGATTGTCAGGCCCCGGCGTTCGTTCGGTATTCGAGGTGGATACAAAGCTGTGCTGCTGTGTGCACCTTCTGAAGTCGAACTCAACACCGCAGGCAGCCAAGCGAAACAAGCCACTGCGGGACTACATGTCGCAACGCGCTTCGCCGACGAAGCCCTCGACGGGACCTGGGGGTTGAATCCACGAAGAGCAGATCGAGCAGGCCTCGCAAGCATTCGCAAGCAAGCATGGCAGCATGACCCTGCCAACATTCAGGAAACTTGCAGCAGGCTGAGATGCAAGACGGTCACTTGTCCACAGGTGCTTCAGGATGACATGGTCAGGATCCTACAGCCATCATGGCCGTGTCCTTGCCTGTGGCTGTGGCAGCAGCTGAGGTAGCAAGCCACCGGTCCTCGCAGCACACGGCGTGGGAGGCTTCCAGCGAGGCCGGAGACTCGATTTCGTTCGAGAGCAAAGCGCACGGTCATGGACCGAGCACCATACAAAGCTAAAGCGCCTGCACACCTCTCGACCCTCAACATGTATCTGCCCAGTTGCTCGAGTTTCTGCTCCGTCAAGGCTGCAACCTCCAACTGCCAGAAGCACAACGAACTCTGAGGTTCATAGAGAAGCCTAGTTTCTTTCTGAGAAACCCGCTGCTTCCTCGCACAGCTCTGTGATGCTAGGGCAGAGCAGGCATCGCACCTGGAAAGCAGTCGTCAAAAGCTTTTGTGTCGGCTTCAGCCTGAGGCTCTCCGCGAACTGGCACACCTGAAATAGATGATTGATTGAGATTGGCAGTTAGTGAGTTAGTGAATGAGTCTATGAGTGATTGACTGAGTGATTAATCGATTCGTTGATTGATTGAGTGCCTGTGGGTGGAAGCACCCCTGCTAAGCACTGGTAGTCGCGCTGCACATACCAAATAGCACATTTTGCAGAGGTCGCAAACACCTCCCGAAAGCACACCCACACATGAAGTGAATTTACCCAAGTGGTTCCAGACGAAAGAACATGCCAGCGCCAGATCCAGTAAGGCCGGCTCTGTCCGGCCGCTCAGCGAGCGCGTCTGGCGCAAAGCACTGGCCGCACACGTCAGGCACAGGTCGTGGCCTCAGCGCAGGAAGGCGGGCAGGGGCAATCCGAATGTCAAGGTTTCTTTGTTCTGGCGAAGACAAGCCGCCGACCGCAGGACAGAACCAGGGCATCCACAAGGACATTCCCGCACCTCACTTCGCACTTCAGGAACTGGTTGACACCGCACAGATCATGACTTTTCGGAAGAAGCAGCTGGGCTTCTGCAATGCCGGGAGCGGCGCTCCGCACATCGTGTTGGCCTGGAGCAACTTTGGCTTTTGGTCGAGATGATACAAGCGCGTGAAACCCGTCCATGCCATGTCGAGTTTGCAAGATCTCCAAGTCGCTGGGACTCCGACGGCTCGCCACGCGGATAATTTACAGGCGGGGTGGCAGCAACCGCCATCGCATCCTGGCGAAGAGAGAATATCGGTTAACGTGCTGCGAAGTCTACGTCGCTTGAAGACGAAGTCCGGAGTCAAACATCCTCTTGCATGCTGGAGGCCCGCAAAGTTCCAGAAAAGTCACGGAGTGCGTAAGGATCCGGCATCCCAGCTGATGCGTCTACAGCGGCGTTTATCTCTGAAAAACGTGCATCGCACTGAGGTCGTCCAGCTGCTGAGAACATGACTTGCGCGACTTGAACTGTTGCTAAGTGGGAGTGATCACTTACATCGATCATCGATCCGGGTTCTAGCATGTCCAATTGCTTCCCATTGCCATGTGGCCTCTTTCTTTGGCAGGAAGCCCGGCAGGCTTGAACCAACACCACGATAGCAGTGGACTGGACCAGGGCTTGGAAGGATTTTCCGCCAGGCTACATACATGATCAAAGCATACAACTCGCAAACACTGCTTTTTCTCTGCCCCGTACCGTCATGCCCGCCTCCTGCTGATGCAGCATTTGCCGGAGAGCTGCTCTGACCTACAACGATGCACATGTGGTTTTGTCGTTGCAATGGCACTGAGCATGTGTGTTGCAGCGGTCACTGTGCCACGCTCTGCGAGGACCCAGTGCACATGAAGGCGTGACGATCTGGGCAAGCGGCCTGGGCCTGAGCGCGCCCGCTTCGATGGTGGCACCTCCACAGAAGGCAGTTGAAAGCGGAAACGATGGTAGCTGACACGGCGGACGGAGAGAGGCCTCCACTGGACCAACCGCTCCCGAGCTCCGCTTCTCCACGCCCTGCAAGGGGGTCTTATGCGAGCGCCTTCTGCCCTGGACTTGGCCCTTTTGGGATGCCGCTCCTCCCACTCAAAGAAAGCCATGACGACTGTCAAATTGTCTTGACTTCCACGAGAGTACGCCTGCGGCGTCGGATATGGACATTCTACCTATGGAGGCTCTCAAAACCTAGAGGCTCTAGCTGCACTGCTCTGCGCAAAAAGGCCTTCTGCACCAAGTCACCGCAGGCTTTCCGGGCATTGGCTGATGCATCTGCCGCATCTCGCAAGAAGTCCAGTTCGAAGATGATCTGGAGCAGACAAGCAATCTCTCTAGGGCCCCATCGGGAAGAATCCTGGTCGACGTTTGACCAGGTGTTACATAAACAGAACCGTGGAGACACCTCTTCGTTGCTGAGAACATCCGTGATTCCATCCTCGGCAAACATTCACGTCAATGAGCCTCCTGTATCGTGCGGTGCCTTTCCTTTATTCCGAGCTCTTGTGACTAAGAGCCCAGCACACATCAGCGCAATGAAGTGCACAGACGCATCCAGCTGAAAGCTTCGGACCTGGGAGGCGCGATGTGCGAAATGGAGGGAAAGAGGGTTAGGTCTTTTACATCCTCGCTCGTACATGTAGCGCAATGGACTGTTGATCTCTGTTGATAGCTGCACCGGGCAGGCAAGCTCGGCCAACGGCGCTGGGCGTCGCAACGAGCAAGGGCTTGTCCACCTACCCGTGTCGCATGAGCTGCTCAGAACGGCTGCAGCCCGAGAACATCTCCAAGCATTCTCAGCTCCAAATGTCAAAAAGCTGCGCCTTGAAGTCACGATCTCCCATGGCCCGTGTCACTGCCAGGGCCACCGGGGGTCGACCCACGGCACCGAGCCCGGCAGCCTTCCAGGAAAAAGCTCTACCCACAGAACGGCACAGATAACGGCAGCCTTTTGCAACCAGCACACCCTGGCGGGAGCCGCGGTGTATTGTGGGTGAAACGGACCAATCGTGCGGGTTCCTGCTTGTCAGGTAACCAGTTTCCACACTCCTTCACGGCCTCTCTTTCCCACCATGCAGAACTCGTCATGTTTGGAAACCTCGTCGGCAACACGGGCCTTCCACATCTCCACCTCAGGTTTGTTGGAGAACGGATGATGCTTCTGGGGTCGCCTAGCCAGCCTAGCAACTTAATCGAGAGTTGGGAAGCTTGCACCTGGGTCCGTGTTGGGCCTGTGCACATCGTCCAGTTTAGGTGCTGCAGCTTCTGCGTTTCAAGCCTCAAAATCTCATCGCAGATCTCGTAGACAGTACCCCTTTGCTTCGGCATCCTCGCGAGAGCCGCCCGTGCCAAGGCCCGATGCCCCACACGCAGCGCATGCGAGCTGTCCCGGCCCCCAGCCGGACATGCAGCGTTGGGATCCCGCTCCAACTGGCGATACCGCCGCTTAAGCCACCGGGCAGAACGGCCCAGCACCTCTTCCAGCTGCCCCCAACTCAGGCCATCTTCCAGTAGATTCACCAGCTGCTGATCCAAGTCAGGAGTCCACGCAACGTCCAACCCTACGATGTTTCCAACCTTTCGTGCCTTCCTCTCTTCGACATCGTCGAGATCGAGATCGACGAACGCTGCGATCCTTTTCCAAGTTTTCTTACACGCCACCACCTCCAGCTGGGCTTTGGCCAAGAGATTGCTCAGACGCGCTTTGGCAAGCTGCACATCTTCACGAGCTTCGGACTCTTTTTCCAGACTTAAGAACTCCAAACACCGGAGGATGGTCCTACGAATGATCGCCTGGCTGTTGGCCTTCGCCTTCGCCGCCGGCTTCGCCTCTGTTTCTTTGGGCTCCTCGGGCTCTTCGGGCGTTTTGCTCTCGAGCCGCGGCTTGGAAGCCCAAGACGCCGCTCGCAGCAGCAGCTGGCAGACACCGCTGACGTCCGAAGCCGTGCATGCGTGTCTCACGGAGCCGAAGAGAAGAGTGGCCTCTGCTTCCTGCTGCTCTGCAGTGCTTTGGCAGAAGAATGCACGGTATCTCTGGAAGGCGAGCGCCGTAGCCTCCGCCGTGTCCGCTTCGGTCTCGACTAGGCTCTCTCTTGGCACACGCTTCATGTTCATGAGGTGCTCTTGCATCGCAGCCCGGGCTTCAATGGGAATCTCTGCCACGTCGCCCTGCCAGCCTGGGCAGCAGGCGGCAGGCAGCAGGCAGCACGGCGGCAGCAGGAAGCAGACTCGACGGACTCCCACAAAGACACTGCCAAGCGGCGCTGCTCTACTAGCTGCAGCGCCAGGCGCAGGCGGAAGCTGCGGCTGTCCTGGAGATGCAGTTGCAACAGCTGAGGTCACAGATGGGCCTCTCCAAGCATGACCATCCTTCCCAATCTTTCCGAGCAGACGGAGAAGGAGCCTGGAAGCCATGCGCAGCCACTTCCCTTCAACCTCCAGAGGCAAAAGTGTTTCCTGTGTTCTGACCACTTGACTGGCTTGGGATTTCCTTGCTTGTCTTAGCCTGGTTCTTGGCCATGTAGCACTCTCTTTGCGTGTCTGCATGAGCTTGCACTAATAAAAAGCTCGTCATTCTTTGGTACTTTCCTTCTGGAAAGACTGCTCCAGAACATGCACAGGAGTACCGGCAGTCCTGCCACATTGGTCATTGCTAAACCATGAAAGTGGGGAGTATGTCCAGGATTGTACAGTCATACAACCGTGCGCAAACACTCGAAGCATTCTTGACATGGTCATCAGCACGTGACATGAGCTGGCAAACTGGGGAGAATAGCTCGTCCAATTCACGAATGCAAGACGCTCCCAAAAAGCATAAGCTTCGCTCGACAAGTGCCTTCGCCAGTGCCACCCAGGCCGCTACGTGTACAGCGCATCGCTGCAAAGCAGTGCCACGAAGCTTCTCTGTCTGCATCTTGTATCGTTCCAGTACCTGACATGCATCACATCCTTGCTTGGCAACCACTCTTCTGGGAACTAAGCTCGCTAAGACTCCGCCACCCTCGAAGGAACCAAGAGTAGAGCAAGGAACACATGACAAATCAACACAGCTTGGTCGCAGCCCTGTATGCTTTGATCTCGAACCGATGAGCATGATGCCTCGGCTTCTCGCAAGCTACATCACAGGGCTTGGGATCGTTTTCGCACTCGATCGTGTGGGGTAGCAAACCATCTTGCTAACAATGGTGCCTACAGCTGAGCTTCAAGTCTGAGTCTGAGTCCACCGCACTGTCTGGGCCCCTGCATCCTCCCTGAAAGCATAACCATCATAACCATTAGAACCACATGATGTGAAAATTGACCAGGCTCTCTCAAGTGCTTCGCCTGGGTGCTTCAATTTTGTGAGGCTCCTGGCTGTGCTGCGCAGCGCAGGGCGGTTTGCTCGGCTTGGGCCCCTCATGGTTCACAGGCTTGCCAGACCCTCAACTGCCATGGAAGGGTCCGGCACATGAAGCAGAAGCTCACATGCGCAAGCGCTTCCACTGCGCCGCTGCGCTGGTGAGAGTCAGCCCCACTCTGTAAGCTCTTGAGCCGCCATTTTCGGACAGCACGAGGCACGATTTGGAAGCTGCCATTTCAAGATGACCCCCGAGACGGCAATCGCTTGCAAGGCAGCAAAGCCGGCCGGAATCCAACGAAAAGCTGGTGCTGCCTTCGCCCTGCGAAGCTCGCGAATCTGGTTGTCAAACCCAGCGTGTGCCACCTGACAAGTAGGGGGTCTTGGCACCAATATTAGAAGTCTCAGGAGCTCAGTCCGAGGACCGAGCACGCTTCGCTCCGTCGAAGTTTCTGCGCAGAGCATGGCATCCGTTCCCTTCCCCGTCCGAGCTCTAGGACTAGGACGAGTGCATCCCTAAACACGCCAAGGCTCACGATCATGCCGCCAGCTTCTCGCACCCGATCTGCCTCCGCTGAGGCCTGAGAGTGTGGAAGAAGCGACGGCATTCATATGCGCACTGGTGGAGGCAGCTGCAAAGCTCTGCATTACCTGATCTGAGGCGTGGACACTCGGTCGATGGTCCTGTGTGAGCGGGACCGTTGCAACGCCCCCAGCGGAAGTGCTTCTGCACAGAAGCGCACGGGAATCGCCCAGCCATGCGACGGTCAGGAGACTTCCCGTGAGAAGCGCCATAACCACCGTGCACCCATCCACCGTTGTGCCTCAGTGAAGAAACCGGCTGACGCCTCAAACTGCCTGGCAGACTGGCCGGCCAAGCCCATTCAAGACAAGTCGCGGTGCTTGGCCAGAAACTCTTCGTCCAACTCCTTTGCAACTGGGTGAGAATTCCATCACCCAAAAAAACTTGGCTGCATCACGGTGCAGTGCATCAGGATCCTGGCACGTCGTCTTCAGTGCCGAACCAATCTCCTCGCTGCTCTTTGTGGTCGTCTGGGTCAGATGCTTCAGGAGTCTCAGATGCAAGGACTTGGCCACAAACTCCGCACAGAGAGGGCCGCGGTGCCCGTCATACACCGCCAGAAATGCGCAGGGCTGCTCCTCTGCACAGCAAGCAGACTCTCAGTTGCAACCCTCCCACAACCCCAGCCATTGTGTAACATGCAGAGAGACTCCGGAAGTATGCATGACTGCATGTCAGCACCAACGTGTTTACTTTTGCCCGGTCCAGGTGGTCGATTGGCATCTTCAGTGCCTTGGCAGCTTTCGTCAGGTCCGGGATCTTCACGTGCCGATCTTCCTGCTGCGGCCGCCTGCCCTGCCAAGTGTCGCCGATTGCTTACAAACGGCTTGAGAGGTGGAAAGCCTGCATGAAGGTGGACTCTGCCAGCACCTTCGCCAACTTGGGCGGACGCGCATGGCTGGCACGCAACGCCTCGATCATGGCGAGACCTTGAAGACCTCCAATCTGATTGATTTTCTTGACTTGTTACCCTCTGGCTTACCTTCCTGGCTCTGGCAGGCCCTGGAAGAACGGTCCAGGATGGCACCTCTGTGAGCTCGCTCGAGCCAATCAGCATTGGGCTACGGAAGGCCTCGAGCTTAGAAGGAGGTGCTGTCGCACGGGTGGGAAGACAGCTAGAAGTTCTTTTTCGGACGAGGGGACGCCCTCTCTTCATGGCCATGCCGGCCCAAGAAGTGCTAGCCTCGTACATGGAAAAATCACAGGAATCACTCAGGCACGGGGTCTTGGACCGCTCGTGCATGAACCCATGAGGCAAATTCAAGACCGGGTCGCTTGCTTAGGTCTGAGCTCCTCAGGTCGTTTGGAGATGCTGTCACAAAGAGATCCTGTCTATGAATGGCCCCACTACTTGAAAGATCAAGAAATACAACCCCTCAAAGGAGTCGCTACCAGCTCAAGCCGCAGGACAGTCACTTCAAAATGGCCTGTCCTGTGCCAAGACTTGGGAGCCGGGAGCGGGAGCCTTGTCCGTTGCCAGCTCCGACAGAAGAGTTCTATGGTTCATCCTATTTCGCTTTGTGAGCAGGTAATCCATATTGTGCTCGTTGGGCGTGGAGTTCATAGGGCAGACCTCACCTCTGGTCTCAGGCAGGTGAAGTGCGCGGCGGCCCAGATGCGAAAAACTACACCGACATCCCATCAACACACTCTGTAAATTTTGAGCTCGGCAGCATGCCAGGGGCTGCAGTGCTTGCACCTTCTCGGGATTGTTCGTGTAGAGCCGAATGGACCTGAGACAGTTTCCTTTTCCAACCAACCAATCAAGGCAACAAACGAAGAACACAGAAAAGCATCCACGCAAGAACTCACACAGCCCAGGCCCCTAAAGCCCCTTTAATCTTAACATGGCTTCACATGTCGTCTGCACTGCGTCTTGCCAGGAAACCGCACACCCAACCCCTCCAGCACCTTCCGCGAGCCCTCGAAGGTCCTTAGAGCGACAGGAACCCTGATCAATCTGAGTCCGTTGGTGAGCGCCGAAGGTAGGGGTGCTCGTAAGCTGGGTCTTTGAGGTCTCAGAGCCCATGTTGCCCAGCTGCCGCAGGTCCGCGGCGAGACCGAGCGAAAGATTGGCGTCCACCTTACAGGAGGCCGATCGCTTCCAAGGCACATGTACTCGGGCACCCTTCGTTGCAGCGAAGATGCGGTGTCCAGCCCTTTCTCCTGGCCAGGGTAAAGCACCCACAACCAGGTGACCTCTGTATTTTGTGCTACACGCGTGTCACATTCGAGGAATTGCCTGGAGCTCGTAAGCTCGTATCTTGTCGACCAGGCCGATACCGCGGCCTTCATCGCCTGCACGCAGAACTGCTGTGAAATGCTTTCAACTACCGGCGTCGTTTGTGAGGTCGACATGGTGGTGTCCCTGCAACTCTGCGGGCAGGGCGGATTCAGGATTCAGATAGAACCCTTCGTGAACTTCTTTCGGGGCTTCATGGTGCCAAGCCTCTTATGTAAAGCAGCACTCCTCTCGTCTCCATATGAAGGGTGTGGAGGAAACCTTGGCAGAGGCACGGCGGAAGCTACAAAAACACATACTACGACTCAGACTCAGTGGAATGGAGTGCATGACATCATTCCTTGGCTGAGGAGAACGGGTGTTCAGAGCAGCCGGCCAGTCCAACAGCCACGTGTGGCCAAAGAACACCTTCTGCCAAGTGACTGTGAAGCTGGGGGCCTTAGATACCAGTCATTAGCTTTCGAAGATGGAGTTCAGGCATGAAACAGCATATCACGTGGATCAAGAAGATCACTCGCATCAAGGGCATCAGAAGGTACATAACTGTCAGAATGCACTCCGGTTGCCTCGAAGATAGTCAAGAATGCTCAAGAAAGGAGCTTCAAAAGCTCAGCTCATGCCTCACGCACAACCTCCTCTACTTGTACTGTGTGTATTATGCCCGGACTCAAGTTTCATCGGAGGGCTTCGGCATGCATGTGTCAATGGCGGTTTCAAAACCGGGCTTGATTTGGATGAGATTTGTGCAAGAGCTGCGCCCTCCCATAACCATGACTTGCGGTCATGTGCTTTTGAAGCGGATTCAGCATACAGAGCTTCGCAAATGTCCGGGATGTTTGTCAAACATGCGACGCCCAACGTTTTCCATCAGCGCGCCCATTTCAGCGCTACCGTCTTCAAATACGGTTCAGGGTACCCCGCATTTTTTCAAAAGCTGGAACACCTGACGGAATGCACCTTTGCGGGCTATGGATTCATTGGTCTGAAACCTTGCGCGGCAAAGCATTCCGATGATCACACTCTTCAGCTGGGACTTTGGGGCCCAACTATGCCATGGTTTAAGCCTCTGGCAATCCATTGTGTAATCATCTGTAAAATTGGGAGTTAGCCTCAGAGAACTGTCAGTCCACTGTGTTTTGAGACCAACAAAGACGTTGACATCGCTTTGTTCAATGGTCATGGTTCCTACACGGTACCGCTCATTCATGACATGGCTAGCCCACTGCTGGACATCGTCCGATCTCAGTGGAGATGACTTCGGCCAGGTGCAGAACAAACGAAGGTCATCGCGAAAAGACACATCAAATACGAGCAGTGGGTGTCCATGCAGCTGGACCAACTTTGTGCAAGTTCCGGCATAGCCATGAGCATCAGGGGCTGTGTCGTGCTCCCGTGAGAACTTGAACAATCACAAGATGGCACCGCTGAGCGCATCTCCCATGGGAGCACCTCTGAGTTCCCTGCCCACATGCCCGGGGATAACCACATAGTTTGTAGAAGAAAAACTTTGCAAGACGAGGTTCACGTCGTCGAAAGATACCACAACATGCTGAGGCAGCTCGAATTTTCCCAATCTTGCTTGGCCGTTACCAGCTTTGATAGGTGCCGTGAACGATACCCCCTGATCGCGCCAGATTTTTGAAACCTGCTGCCAAATCCTGGGGGCGTCACTACATGGTAAATGGTGGAAAGAGTCGCTCATGTGAGCTGATTCCGTCCAAGGCATGAAGCCATCAAGGTATGCATCCGACAATGCCTTGTTGAAAAGCTGACTCAAAACTATTACCTCCTGTACAGACCTGCAATCACTCCACAGATTGCGTGGGAGCTCATCAAGAGCAGCATCGATACAGTGGCAAATAATGGAGTGCAGTATGTTTCGCGGTGTCTTGCTTTTGTCAATGACAAGACGCCACTTCAAGCCAGGTGGTTTCCACTTGGGAAGCAAGCGCGGAATTCCGAGCTTCCACTCGAATTTCTGGGCACACCGCAACTGAGCCGTTGAAGGGCGCTGCGAAGGCAGGGTATGTGGGCCATGTCGGTGGTGATACGCTCCAGTTGGGAAGGGTCTTCGTAAACCGTCCAAGTAAAATCTGTGGGCTTCGGTGATGTTCCGATGTCGAGCATCTTCCTGGCGAAGTGCCTCACCAGTATAGAGTGGTATTGTGGTCAAAATACTGGACATAGAAACCTTCAAGAGTCGCTTTGCAGAGCAGATATCTTGCGAGGAGATGGAGAAACCCTTGGCGGTGTCACCCATGGCCTCTAGCAGTTGATATCCCGCGCTAGCGGCGATGTCTTCCAATGCCATGTCATAGGACTTGATGCGACATCGGCGCTGTAAGGACCGGAGATTGTCCCGGAGGGATGCAAGGATCTGGGTACGGGTCGGGGGGAGTGTGATGGATGCTGGTTGGGGTGGCAAGGTGCTGTAGTGCATGCGGCCATGGCATCTGCGATTGGGGAGTTGCGACATGGAAATTGCCCTCAAGGACAACGCCGCTCCATCCCTCTGCCAGCCTAGACAGGCAATCGCAAGTGACGGCATGCTTTTGGCATGCTATGGCTGGCAGTGTGTCTGCAGTGGAAAGGCACTGGGTCAAAGATGCGGTTCGCTTCCAGTGGAACAGTAAACGGACATGTCAAGACAGGCACTGGTGTCCCCTGGGTTTTCCAATGGCGTAGCAGACGCTTGACAGAAGTCAGAACAATCTGCCGTGCCCGGGCAGCACCTATCCAGGGCATCGAGCACCGGATAATGGTGATGGGAAAGACCAAATCCCGTCGCACACGACAGATTTTGGCAAGATGGCCAAACCGCGTCTGCGGCGCCAGCCTTCCTCGCAATTGTTGATGCGATGTGCTACGTACTGCCACGAGCTGGGTGACAGACGCCAGGCTGCTAATGTGCACTGCTGGTGACCGGCAAACTGATGGCCTGAAAGCGCGGACGCTATGTGCTGTAGGCCGGATTTCCATGCTTGCTGGTCCCGTCGTGTGTGCCGCGGCTTGGGGCTCACACCCGTATCTGTTCTAAGATTCTAAGGCGCTTGAGAGGGCGAGTGCGTTCAAAAATCCTTGCCCCCTGGACCTTTCGGCGTTTCCGCCGGTTTCCGGTGGACAAGCTGTACACATTTGGCGTGTTTAGAGTGCCAAGTTTCTGGATCATCTCCTTTTCAGTGGCTTTGCGAAGCTGTGACTGTACAAGAATGATTGGCATGATCACCCATGTAGCTATACACTGTTTGAGTCGTGACGGGGAGGTTTCGCCATCACGTACAATGTCGAAAAAGGGTTGTTGAGTCGCTCCCCGGATGGCAAGCGGACGTAACACATGCTCGGACGTACGCCTGTACATGTTGTCAGTTTTCCCGATGTATATGAATGGGCCAACAGAAGTAAAAACATTGAACAGAGGAGTGATCCAATATACAACGGAATTATGCCAAAGTTTATCCCAACCATGGGACCAAGGGTGATGGCCAGCATGGCGCAACTGCATATTTGATCGGCGTCTGGATTTTGCCGCAAGTCGGATAAACCAAACGCCGGCCAAAACACGCATGATCACTTCTATGCCGGCCGCGCGGCCGCCACCCTCGTTCAAAAACCAGAAGTGTAACAACATAAGTAGATGAAGCGCCGCACTGCAGCATTCTGCCACCGCGGCGCTTGCCGGTGTCTTCTAGTCAGGGCGGGTTGGACATCATGTCCGATGCCCGCAACCGAGCCAGCAATGTAGGCAAAAGGTTGTCACCAGCCGTGGTGTTGACATTCAACGCCTTGCACAGGGACGTGAGATGCTTGCGTCGTATGTTCTGTAGGAGCTTTGCGTACTACTCTTTCAAGTACACATCGTATGTTGTCTGGTACGTGTCACTCATGGCAGCCATATTGGGAAGACTCGCAATGGCCTGGGATGGCTTCTGCTTCGATGGAAACCTGTTGCGCTTGGATACCTCGATCGACGATGTAGTGAGATTGGCCGTGTCGGTCTCAAC